TACAGAACAGAAAAGAAGATCTGAGGTCTGCCTGGAGGAAGGAACAAAGGGGAAGCGAGGAAGACTGGCTCAGAATACATACAAATACACAGCCAGGTTGGGCTGGAAAACGGTAAAGGTAACACATTTTGTCAGTGCTGCAGAACAGATAAGGGTGATACACAAAAGCAACTCCCCTCTCACATCAATGCAGCTCTGCTCTGTCGGTGTGAGTCGAAAGACAGATGTCAGAGTATAGCATTACAGTGGCTGAGAAGCAGGAGTGATGGGTTCAAATGGATGAACACAATGTCTGTTTTCGAGACACTTCAAAGCGATGCCAGGGTCAAAGTTGGCCAACACAACATAACGCAATCCAATGCAATGTAGCTAATAGCCTTCACTGACAAATTCTGACCCGAGGCATCAACAAAAGTGCATGAAATCCATGTGACTGCCCTTGTACGTGCTGAATAGTAATGCTATTATGAGTCATTAGCCTAAACTGTTAAATAATAGAGAAATTATGTCTCACTTTCTTATCAGATGACAACAAATTAGGTCCTTCTACTGTACATTCAATGTGATAAAAACAGTACCAACCCCTTAGACAGCTACACAAAGTATTGTTTGCCAAATGTCTACGAACTGATGCGGAGCAAGCTAGATATCTTTTATTATTTCCGCAATATTGATTTGATTAAATACATCGCTAACCTGTAATTCTGCACCAAGATTTTTCTCATTAAGCTGAAAGATGAGGACCCCTGTATTGCCTACAATGGAGATGGAAAACATAATATATTGAATAGTTTGCAGAAAGATATGGGATTTCATGCAAGATTTGAGCACACACAAACACAAAACACACACACAAACACAATGGAAATGGAAAATAAACTTTGCTTGACTGCAGGGAGTTTAACAATGCCTCTGCACATCTCGTAGCTCGGCTGGCACCAAGTCATACTGAGGGATTTCAAAGGCAGAACCGCCGCACTTATCGGAGTGCCATCTACATGTGTAGTGCCGCTGCAGTGGCTATGTCACAGGGGAACAGTGAATAATGAATTAAGGACCTGCCGAGTTTCTGAGTCAATTCAGGCGCAGATTGGTTTAATAAAATATGAGCTAAATTCTCCCCCGCCACCCCCGACATCACCACAGTGAAGAAAGACCAGGGCATTAATCAGTATATGTAAATAAAGCCCAGTTAAAGAGAGAGGGGGTGTACAGAGTGATTTCTCTGGCTTCCATTATCAGGAGGAAAATGGGGTTGAGATATTCATTGTGCTGTGAAGTGTAATGACTAACTGTCCTAATCATAGGCCTAGCCCTGCAGCCACTTGTCACAGTAGCTAGTTAGTTTAATTAGAGGTTTGTGTAGGTAAAGCAACGTGGCCTGTAGCCTGTTTATTAGACTGCATAAAGGGGAAGGGAAAGAGGATGTATTCAAAATGAGGGCTAACCCAATTTCTTTTAGTAAGAGCTGTTATTGCTGGTAAAAGAGCAGACCGAAAACGCAATCTCAGACAGAGCAAGTCCCTTGAAACGCGTTCAAACAATTGAATAATTCTAAGGTTTGAATAATAAGCAACAAATGCTGAAGACAAAACTAAAGACTTTCAGAACTTGAAAATGTTTGTGTGCATTTGCATTCAACAACTACCCCCTTTGGACCTGTACTCTAGAGGTGCATTAAGAGTTAGTATTAAAGCAAAACATTTTAACACCAAATAAATAGGTAGGAGGGCTGATGCCTTAGCTACTCGCTGGGTAGTCAAGGTGCTCGAGAATCCAGTTTGACAATTATTTCCAGGGGAATTTGCAGTTTGTTTGAGCTGAATTTTCTGGAACATCAAAGTCAGTCTCTCCAAGGACATGTTAGATAACTTCAAAGTCCTGTGACTGCTTGCCGAGAGGTGCTTTTTCTTTGTTTTCTTCAGCTTTCATCCAGTTTGTTTTCATTCCAAAGTGGAATACTAGATGATAAAGCCGATGTGCATATTGCATCACCAACCCTTTTATTAAAATGTGCAATTCAAAACACATTTAACTGAATAAAGGGAATTCATTCAAGCAGAACTATTGCAACACACAGCCTACATGATGTAGAAGTATAATTAATAATTCATATCAATAATAAATCATTCTAAAAACTTGCAATGGTTCAATGATGAAAGGATATACACTGAACAAAAATAAACACAACATGCAATAATTTCAAAGATTTTACTGAGTTACAGTTCATATAAGGAAAATCTGTCAATTTAAATAAATTCATTAGGCCCGAATCTATGTATTTCACATGACTGGGAAAATCGATATGCATTTGTTAGTCATAGATACCTTTAAAAAAAAAGTATGGGCGTGGATCAGAAAAGCAGTCAGTATCTGGTGTGACCACTATTTGCCTCATGCAGCGCGAGTTGATAGAGTTGATCAGGCTGTTGATTGTGGCCTGTGGAATGTTGTCCCACTCCTCTTCAATGGCTGTGCCAAGTTGCTGGATATTGGCGGGAACTGGAACATGCTGTCATACACATCGATCCAGAGCATCCCAAACATGCTCAATGGGTGACATGTCTGGTGAGTATGCAGGCCATGGAAGAACTGGGACATTTTCAGCTTCCAGGAATTGTTTACAGATCCTTGAGACATGGGGCCGTGCATTATCATGCTGAAACATGAGGTGATGGCGGCGGATGAATGGCACGACAATGGGCCTCAGGATCTTTTCACGGTATCTCCGTGCATACAAACTGCCATCGATAAAATGCAATTGTGTTCATTGTCTGTAGCTTATGCCTGCCCATACCATAACCCCACCGCCACCATGGGGCACTCTGTTCACAACGTTGACAACAGCAAACCGCTCGCCAACACGACACCATACACGCTGTCTACCATCTGCCCAGTACAGTTGAAACCGGGATTCATCCGTGAAGAACACTCTTCTTCAGCGTGCCAGTGGCCATCGAAGGTGAGCATTTGCCCACTGAAGTCGGTTACGATGCCGAATTGCAGTCAGGTCAAGACCCTGATGAGGACAACGAGCACGCAGATGAGCTTCCCTGAGGCGGTTTCTGACAGTTTGTGCAGAAATTCTAGTTGTGCAAACCCACAGTTTCATCAGCTGTCCAGGTGGCTGGTCTCAGACGATTGCGCAGGTGAAGATGTGGAGGCCCGGCGCTGGCGTGGTTGCACGTGTTCTACGGTTATGAGGCTGGTTGGACGTACTGCCAAATTCTCTAAAACGAGGCGGCATATGGTAGAGAAATTAACATTAAATTATCTGGCAACAGCTCTGATGGACATTCCTGCAGTAAACAAAACTTGAAACATCTGTGGCATTGTGTTGTGTGACAAAACTTTTTTTTGAGGGTGGCCTTTTATTGTCCCCAGCATAAGGTGAACCTGTGTAATGATCAGGCTGTTTAACCAGCTTCTTGATTTGCCACACCTGTCAGGTGGATGGATTATCTTCGCAAAGGAGAAATGCTCACTAACAGGGATGTAAACAAATTTGTTCACAAAAATTGAGAGAAATAAGCTTTTTGTGTGTATGGAACATTTCTGGGATTGTCACGACTTCCTATGAAGCTGCCACCTCTCCTTGTTCGGGCAGGCTTCAGCGTTCGTCGTCACCGGCCTTCTAGCCATTGTCACTCCTCATCTCATCATTCCATTTGTTTTGTCTTGTTTATTCCACACACCTGGTTCATATCCCCTCATCAGTACCTGTATAAGTGTTCCCTCTGCCCCCTTGTCTTTGTGTGTGATTGTTTATTGTGGAGAGTAGAGAAGCTCGGTGGAGCGCCTTGTATTTTGTATCGCCGGGATATTTCTCTGTGTGCCTTGTATTTTCCAGTGCGCCTGTTTTGCGCACTGGAGTGTTTTGATGCGTTACTGCTTAACTCTGTGGTTGCAGAATAAAGCCTGTTATTATGTGATTTACCCTCCTGCGCCTTTCTCCTTCAACATCACCTCATCACAGGGATCTTTTATTTCAGCTCATGAAACAAGGGACCAACAATTTACATGTTGCGTTTGTATTTTTGTTCAGTATATATTCTATCAGCAAAACATTTCTAACATGATCACATTTTAGGAATGGATTGAGACTTCATTGTACTACTGAATCTAATGTTCATTCAGAGGGTGTCAGCTCAAGGTATTGTAAACAAAATAAATTGTGTTTTCAATGGATAACAGATAGTTAAAGGGAATATTCATTGTATGTCAGATGATTACATACCTCAAAAGTGTACATCAAAAATCCATATTCCACTGATGTGTAGATCCCAGTATATTCTTTGCAATAAATCTGCAGGCCTCCATCTTGACGTGATCCTCAGTGAATAGGAATGATTGACAATCTAATTAGGAACTCTGAGTCTGACATAATTACATTGTTAAAAACCTCCCAAGGACAGTGGTGTCAACTCCTCACTAAGAAAGCTACTCACCTGCCACACAGAGTAGTCTAGGCCTAATCATACAAGTTAACACTTCTAAGGGAGTAATTGAAATTAAAGTATACAGTCAACATGTCTCAGTCAGTAAAACCTATATAGACTAGGCCATTTACTAATGATTTATCAAGCATTTGTAAATGACATCATTTTTGTCAATCAAATCACTTTTTAAAACATTGTGAAATGTAGGCCTATAGTTTGACCAATAATAGGCCTATTTGATTTGTGTCACCAACGAGTGACTGAAAGGAGATCATACAGGGCCATTGAAGATGGCAATCTGATATCTAGGCTAGTCTGCATTCTAAATGAGGTTGGTCCTCACTGGTAGATTACAACAGGAAATTACATTTTCTGCAGGACACGTTTTGAACGCAGTCATTCACCGATAATATTCTTATTTTTTTTCGACCATAGGTCTATTTTAGTAACTGACAACTTCCTCGCTATGTGAAGGCGCTTCAGACGTTGAAAGGAGTCAGAGAGAAACTTTTGTAAAAACTTTTGAGCTAACTGACACGGAGTTGACCTGTTTCAAACGGAATGATGGGTATTTTCGCGTTTCTTTGGATGGGGAGTCTCGTGCCACTCTGTCAACCGCTAATATACACAAATGACTGGGCGATCAGGATAAATGGGGCACCCGCCTCTGCAGACAGTATAGCGGAGAAATATGGATTTCTCAATTTGGGTCAGGTAAGTTCTCCTCAAAGTTGCATATGAGAATCATACTTTTCTACAGTAGCCTAATGTTTCCTTTGCAGAGACAAAGTTATCATTTGGTTCATGGTTCGACTGCAATGCAAATATGGGGGAAAACGTTCCACCGGTCTATAGCCTAGGCCTACTAAACTTCTCTTTGGCTAGCGGACTAAACTCCTGGTGACAGAATTAAGTTCACCATGGAGTGGAGTTTAGTCCGCTGTTCTTCGGCCTAAACATGAAATCTAACTTTACTCATTCATCATCATTAAGTTTGTCAAATCTGCCCATCAACCCAGCATTTTGATACATAGCCTAGGTCTATTTTATTAGCTGTTTCCTTTAAAGTACGTCTATTTTGGATGAAAGACGTTTTCTATCCCATGTGAATGACAAGCTTTTTGCATGAAATGCTAGATTTAATCTGAATCATTGGCTCTGAATCATTCACGGTTGTTTGGCTGCAGCACTCATCAGATTCGTTTCTGAGACCTCAAACAGTCATGTGGCCCCCATATCAAATTAGCCAAGTCATTGACCTTGTAGTGAGCACCCACATCAGACTATCTTCCTTATCAGAAGATTCAGGCCACAAGCCCTCTTTTCATATGCCTACATCTTTTCAGAGCTGAAACGAAGGCTCACGCTACTATTTGCCATCCTGGTTCAAGGAGAGATTGATTTCAGTCATCTCACAACTCAGTCGGTCGATGTATGATAGTTTGAATGGGATCAAGGAGTCATCATTTCCACTCATGGATTGCAACAGCAGTATGGTCCTAAGAATAGCCAAAGCACTACTCTTACTGTTTTGTCCTTCCCTCTATTAGAGCCCTCATGGAAACATGGTCTGTTTTGTGTGTACTAGCCTAAGTTCCTTTCTGTTCAGGTCAAGGCACACATACGTAATGGTGGTATTATGATAAACCTGGGTGTCAGAAAGGAGTGTATCCACAGGCTGTAGCCCAGCCCATGGCTCAGTACCTGGGGCTCAGGTTGCGCTGGCCTGAAAGTCTAGTAGGGGTGTAAAGTAACCTTCTCAATGACTGATGTCAATGACAGCTTCATTATTTATCAGCCATTTAGACATGGGGACACAGCTGAAAAAGCATCAGATCTCATTAGGATACATATACACGATTGTGTGTTTATGTGTTTCCTACTTTACTCAGATTGGAGACTTGAACAACTTTTATAGTTTCCGTCACAGTGGGACGGTGAAGCGGTCGACGGTGTCCAACAAAGACTTTACTGACCTCATCGCCAAGGAGACCAAGGTACAGTAACTAGATCCCATTGGAGGTGTTATTGATACCCTCCTATGTAATTTATCAGCTGCATGACATCCTGCACACACACACATGAACGAGCACACACACAAGCAAGCACGCACGCACACACATAAGACTCAATTGACATAAAAAAAATCTATATGAATATAATTGGACGTTTTACCTGTAAGGAATTCAGCAGACTCAGCAAGCATGCAAAACTCCACTTGTACCCTCTAAAGTGTGCATTCCATACTACTGTAAGTAGCCTACAGTAGGATCCCTATAACCTCCATTCCTCTGCAGGTGGAGTGGGTGCAGCAGCAGGTGGTCCATTGGAGGACCAAGAGGAACTCCAGAGCCAGTCACATCTACTCCATTGACGTCCGGACTAAACACATTCCCCCAGGCCCCATCCAACCTAACCAGACCCAGACACTGGTTTTCAATGACCCCCAGTGGTGCAGCTTGTGGTACATTGTGAGTATCTCTCAGCTGAGAGGCAACAACTGCACTGCAGACATACAGTAATGTAATAAATACATCCTTTCTCTTACCTTGAGGTAATCACTAATCTGACATGACATGATTGATGAGAGCAATGTAAGCGAAACAGATCAGTGATTACCTGAAGGAAGAAAGGAAGGAAGGATGCGTTTTTAAAAGGTATATTTAAACAGGGTCAAACATATATTTACAAACATGCTACAGGTGTGTGTGCATTACCCACATATGCCCCACTGTTTTGTATTGTGCTTTGCGAGGACGCCTTGTAGTTATAAATATTACTAAAGTAACAACTAATGATCCAAGTAAACATGACATTTACTGATCCCCCCCTCCCGCATCAACAGCACTGCAGTGAGGGCTCCCAGGGCTGTCCGTCCTACATGAACATCGAGGGGGCCTGGAGGAGAGGACACACAGGGAAGGGAGTGGTGGTGTCCATCTTGGATGACGGCATCGAGAGAGAGCATCCTGATCTCAGGCCAAATTATGTAAGTGCCTCGGAACCGTCTCTTCTGAAGACTTCACAAGGACATTTATTAAAAGCAATTTGGCAAATGTCCCGAATGTAAAAGTCCAGAGCTGATCCAATATGCTGTCAAAGCTCTTGGCCGGGAGCTTTTAAAGGTCAATGCAGAGTATTAAAATACAGGCTAAATGTCTTGTCCACTTTAGTGTTCAGACACTGCCTAGTTGATTTGTGAGTCAATAGGCTCTGACTGGTGGAGTATAGACCAGACTAGACCAGACCAGACTGGAAGACACTAAAGGCCGATTAGCCACTGACTTTTGTTTTTTTATGTGTCACTGTATCTTAGGACCCCTTTGCGAGCTATGATTTCAATGAGAATGATGATGACCCCACGCCCAGATACGACTCCAGCAATGACAACAGGTTATTCTTATTTTCAATATGCAGATTGGTCATAGCTGGAGATGTGAGTTTTTCGTGGTAAGTTCATGTGGTCAGGAAAAACTTAGGGCCCTACTTATTGCAGCTTTTTGCAGAATCTTAGCCCATTTTATAAAGCAACTTACATTTTTTCCCACAATTATGCTCATATATTATATTCATATGCATATATGAATATGCATATTCACTTCTTTGAATGTGTATATTCTTTGCCAGTTTGATGTCGTACATATAGCCTGTCTCCTCATACATATGCAACTAAGCTAATGTGGTATACATTCCCTTTTATTTCTGGTAAGCCATGGAACAAAATGTGCTGGGATGGTTGCCGCGGCAGCAAATAACTCCCAGTGCACCGTTGGAATCTCCTTCAATGCTCAGATAGGTGGTGAGTCCATGTGACAGTTCATAAGTTCATAAAAAGTTTAGAGTTCTTTATTAGTCACGTTTATAAAAACATAAAATGTGTCTCCTTGGTGCAAACACATAAAAAATTGACATACTGTATATTCAGTTCAAGTTCAGTAAGTAGAAGTAAAGGTATATTGTATATTGAAGATGCATACATACTGTATGGTGCTGAAGGTCTCCTGTAAGTCAGGTGGTCCATTCCTATGGGTGATCCATCCTATGTAGTGAATGGAATGCTAAGGTTATGAAAGTCCATCCCACTCCCGTATCTGCAGGCATTCGTATGCTGGACGGAGATGTGACGGACATAGTAGAGGCCCAATCCCTGAGCTTCAGGCAGCAGCACATTGATATTTACTCTGCCAGCTGGGGGCCGGAGGATGACGGGAGGACTGTGGAAGGACCTGGCCCTCTGGCTCGCCTCGCTTTAGACAACGGCATACGCACTGTGAGTGTGTGTGTATGTTTGTGTGTCTGTGTGTCTGTCTAACTCGTCTGCATCAGTACAGTCAAAAAGTTTATTCTCCACTGTGTGTGTGTGCATGTGCGTCTGTGTGTGTACTTGTTTTCCTACCTTATCAGGGCCCCAATGTCCTAATAATTCAATCGAATGTCCCGACAAGGTAGGAAAACAATAACTTTTTTTCGTAAAGTTAGGACTCTTTTCATCTGAATTTGCTCAAGTGCTATTTTAAGTTTAAGGGTTAGGTTTAGTTTTTTTGGGTTAGGGTTAAGGTTAGGGTTCTGGGGTTTAAGGTTAGGGTTAGGGGTTAGGGAAAATAGGATTTTCAATGGTCAAACAATTTTGCTCCACAAAATGTCCTGAAATGTCACGAAAATAAAGCTGTGTGTCAGTGTGGTGTGTGTGTGTGTGTTTGTCTGTGTGTCAGTCTTTGGCCTCAGGCTGTATGTTTACTTCTAGGGCTTATCTTTATCTTCTTATCAATATGTAAATAACATACAAATATGAATCATTAGTGGCTCTTCACGCTTGGCATTAATCACAGGGGAGAAGGGTGCCCTTAGGCACAGATCTAGGATAAGCTTACACTCCCCAAATCCTAGCCTAAACCAATTATGAGGGGAATACGCAAAACCAACCTTAGATCAGTGTCTAGAATCCAAATCCTATAAAGATAATTCAAAGGTAATATGACCAAAACTATTACTCCCATGAACCCCCCAGGGTAGGAAGGGACGTGGCTCCATCTTCGTGTGGGCGTCGGGTAATGGTGGGCGGAGCAGGGACCACTGCTCCTGTGACGGCTACACCAACAGCATCTACACCATCTCCATCAGCAGCACCACCCAGAGTGGGGCCAGGCCTGACTACCTGGAGCCATGCCCCTCGACACTGGCTTCCACCTACAGCTCCTTCTCCACCGACAGACAGGGAGCCAAGATGGTGAGTCAAGCTGTATATCGGCCCCAACTCGGCTATACGTGACGAGTCAATTTTGATTTTACTTAATTATTTGATTTGATACAATAGCTGTATATGACAGTGATTTAAAACATGTTAAAGGTGCAGCCACTTCAGCTATTTTCAGCTGCAGCGCTTGTTTGTGAAATGAAAGGATGGTGTGAATATATCCATTAGTTTTTTTATTTTGCTTCTTGACAATGTGTTTGTAGGAAATTAAATGAACTGAAAGTTACAAAGTGTATCTTTTAAAACCCCTGTATGATGTTATAAGGCATAATAGCACATCTACTGTAACATTTTATAGTCACACAACAGGACTATTTCTATCTGGCAGGTAACATTGGACCTGAAACAAGGCTGTAGCAAGGAGCATTCTGGGACCTCAGTCTCCGCTCCAATGGCAGCAGGGGTCATCGCACTCGCCCTGGAGGCCAAGTAACCTACTTTCCTAGAGATATCATCACTGATATCTAAATCTATTGATAATATTATAGGTAACAAGGAGTTTTTCCTGACCACATGACCTGACCAGGAACAACTCTGGGCCCTAGTTACAGGCTAAAACTTGGACTGCAAATTCTTCCTTGACAGGTCACGTGGTCAAGAAAAACTCCTGGCCCTAGTTATAAGCTATTGAAAATATTATGCTATAAGATAATATGCTATACAGTGTTGTTAACTTGTGTCTGTGTGACCCTGATCCAGCCCAATGCTGACTTGGCGGGACGTACAGCACATTATTGTCAGAACGTCACAGGCCAGTCACCTGACCTCCCCTGACTGGCACACCAACGGAGCTGGATACCAGGGTATCTGATTTGATTGAATTTGCTCCCCATATCCTGTCCACAATTGAGTTTGTGTTCGTTCAACGCTTAGCTACAGAAAACTAAAAGGTCTTTCCTTCATTTATAATAATTTTCCATTGATATTCAAAAACACATACAAGGGAACAATTATTACTGTACCACTACACGACAAACAACCACATTTAAGACATTCCTATCTGGATTGACCGACTAATTGCTTCATTGATTGCTTACTAGAGTCATTGATCCATTCATTTATTTGTTTGTTTATGTATTTGTTCTTCCTTCTGTCCATTCATTCAATTAATTCAATTAATTAATTCAATTATTAATTGGCAGTGAGTCACCTGTATGGCTTTGGGCTGCTGGATGCAGAGAGCATGGTGAAGGAGGCTGAGCGATGGAGACTGGTCCCCTCCCAGCATGTGTGTAAGGAGGCTCCCATCCAACAGAGCAGGTACTGGACTGACTGCTTCCCAACATGGACACAATCCTCTATTCTCTTTGAAGCATATCCATCTATCCATCTCCACAGAGAATTCATCGGCATGGGAATTCCCTCACAATTTCTCTGTGTTTCGCTCGTACTTTCTCTGTATCTCTGTCCTTCTCTCTCACTCTCTCTCCCACATTCTCTTTCACCCCTCTGCCTCTCTCTACTCCCTTCCGCTCCCCTGTCCCCTCTTCTCTCGCTCTCTACCTCACTCATATAACAGAACCATTCCTCCAGGCCTTGTGCTGAGGTCTGTGTATGAGTCCACTGGCTGCTCCCTTCATCCCCTGCAGCACATTGTCTATCTGGAACACGTAGTCATCCATGTCACCATCACCCACAGTCACAGAGGTGACCTCTCCATCACACTCACATCACCCGCGGGGACCAAGTCACAGCTACTGGCAAACAGGTAAGACTTGTCTTGGACCCTTTTCACACTTCTGGGCCACGACAAGATTAACTGTATTGTGCTGGCCTGGTTACACATCCACCATAGGTCCTGGAGCTGTGAAAAGGGAATTTCTGAGCCAACAAAGTATGGTTCAGGTTGGCATAATCGTGTGAAAAGGGTGTTGGACTGTAGTACTGAATACAAGTGGGATTGGTCACTTCACCCACTCATTACAAATTCAAAATATTTGTTGATGATACATACTGGCTGATGTTGTGCTGAGTGATTTAAAGTGATAGTTCACCTCAAAAGTATTTTGTCTGACTTTTTCTCACCAAATAAGTGGTCTAATGTGGAGATAAGTCCATATCCCACCCCATCTGCTGTAGATCCCAGATATATCCCTCAATGCCAATTGAATAGGAAACTTAGGATCTATACAACAGATGGCATGGGACGTGGACTATTGTGGACATTGGATTACATTTTGTATGAAAATGTATGCACTCACTAACTGTAAGTCGCTCTGGATAAGAGCGTCTGCTAAATGATTAAAATGTAAATGTAAAATGTTGGGTCTGAAAACGTAATGACAAACTTTGGGTTTAGAGAGAATCCAGAAATGACAGTGTAACATGGTTAGATCATAATGTATTTTGGTCCGAGTCACAGTTGCATTATATTACACCATGGTTGTGTTTTGGTCCTGGTCATAGTGGTCAATATATTACACCGTGGTTGTGTTTTGGTCCTGGTCATAGTGGTCAATATATTACACCGTGGTTGTGTTTTGGTCCTGGTCATAGTGGTCAATATATTACACCATGGTTCTGTTTTGGTCCTGGTCATAGTGGTCAATATATTACACCATGGTTGTGTTTTGGTCCTGGTCATAGTGGTCAATATATTACACCGTGGTTGTGTTTTGGTCCTGGTCATAGTGGTCAATATATTACACCATGGTTCTGTTTTGGTCCTGGTCATAGTGGTCAATATATTACACCATGGTTGTGTTTTGGTCCTGGTCATAGTGGTCAATATATTACACCGTGGTTGTGTTTTGGTCCTGGTCATAGTGGTCAATATATTACACCATGGTTCTGTTTTGGTCCTGGTCATAGTGGTCAATATATTACACCGTGGTTGTGTTTTGGTCCTGGTCATAGTGGTCAATATATTACACCGTGGTTGTGTTTTGGTCCTGGTCATAGTGGTAAATATATTATACAGTGGTTGTGTTTTGGTCCTGGTCATAGTGGTCAATATATTATACCGTGGTTGTGTTTTGGTCCTGGTCATAGTGGTCAATATATTACACCGTGGTTGTGTTTTGGTCCTGGTCATAGTGGTCAATATATTACACCATGGTTGTGTTTTGGTCCTGGTCATAGTGGTCAATATATTATACTGTGGTTGTGTTTTGGTCCAGGCCTCTTGACCACTCCACTGAGGGATTCCAGAGCTGGGAGTTCATGACCACTCACTGCTGGGGGGAGAAGGCAGCAGGAGAGTGGAGTCTAGAGGTCCTGGACACTCCCTCTCAACAGAGGGACAACAGTGAAACAGGTCTGCCATGCTATACTTCTACCACTATTCAATACCACAAGAAATACACCAGATATCAAATACTGTAACGCATGAGTAGAGTCCTGAGGTTTTTCCTGATCACAAGACCTGACTAGGACAAACTTGGGGCCATAGTTGATTCTGGTCAAGTCATTCAGTTAGGAAAAACCTGATAACCTGTAGTTTTTTCTTCCTCTCTCTCCATTGATTTACAGGGGAATTGAGAGAGTGGTCATTAGTGCTTTATGGCACCTCAGAGCAACCATACTCCATGCGCCGTGAGCAAGCCCGCTCGGCAGAGCTGCCAACTGACGGTGGTGACCTCACTGAGGAATATAGCGGTGAGTCACTTTACCCGCTGTCACAGAACAGCTTTGGAATAAGACAACACACAATTATCACACCCTTTTATAGCTTAGACACCGGAATCAAACGACTAATTGTAGCCTGTATCAGAGCTCCATTTGTTTAACCAGTAGCCTACGTCAAGGCTAAGTCCTAAGGCTTCACCAAGTCTTAAGGGTTCCACCACTTTTTATAAGTGTTTGTTAGAGACATGTTTTCCCTATTCTGACTATCTTCCTTTGTCAAATGAATTATTCCAGGCTATGAAAATGCATTATGAGAAATTAAGTTTTGTTGTGTTCCTTCCAGGCCTATGTGACCCAGAGTGTAGTGAGGATGGCTGTGAGGGACCAGGCCCCCTGCAGTGTGTCACATGTCTACACCTCTTCCTCAAGTTCAAGAACAACACCAGGTTAGACTATTCACTCTAAATGTATAGGTTGGATTCAGTGATGTTGCAGTAGGTCTCCCACTCATGCTTTAAATTGATGATATATATCTTTATAATAAGAAAAAATAATTAAAATATATAATAGTTCGCAATAGTCCAGCGGCCCATTATTACATATTTACGAACCTCATTTAATTGGCTGTTATCGAGTCATGGATGTTTCTCACAGTAGCCCTCCGGCTTTCCAGCTTTGAACTCTGTAGGACACACAGTTAACACATACATTTAGTATGTGTCCCATGTGGAGACAATACTAGTGTTGCACTAAACAACATCCTCCAACCAACCAACAAGGCATGTGCTTTCTATCTTACAGGACGTGTGTGTCTGTGTGCCCAGTGGGATTCTGGGGCGACCGGCGTCGCTGTAAGAAGTGTTTCTCTTCCTGTGAAAGCTGCACGGGCAGCCGCAGTGACCAGTGTACTACATGTCGCCCTGGACACCACCTGACCGAGGGAACCAATAGCTGCACGGCCAGTTGTGGTGACAACTATTACTTGGACCATGGTATGTCCCGGGATGCGTTCCAAATTACACCCTAATGCCTAAGTAGTGCACTAGAGTCTCACATAATTTTGGTCCGAAGTAGCGGATAGAGAATAGAATGCAATTCTGGATTTTCCCCCTACGTTGTGAGGCAGTCATCATCATTCTATGACAAACATACATCGATTTTTATCGAATTTAAGTTAAAAAACTTGAAAACAATATGAAGATGTGAAACAAAACCACTTTGTGTTCATCACAGAGGGACAAACTGTATATTAGATGTGAGTTGATATCGTGACGAATCATTAGACTTGCTAGCCAACTCTGTGGTACGTTCACAGAGGGAAGGAGAAAACAATGAATTTGAGCAGTGCACAGGGAAATTAGTCGGATTTTCCCTGACCACCAGTTATAAAAAATAATTACAGTAATAAGGCAGCTTAAATCTTACACCATGTCAATTGTAAAGTTGATTGTGAGTATATGTGACAGACCGGCTCGATTCGGTCTTATGTAGACAGCATTTGAAATTGTGTTTTTTATATTGGATAAAAGTAGAGACTCAGAGCTAGAAAATGGTATATCATACACTACAGTTGTGGAACAATGGGAAAGTAATTCTGCTTTGAAAGTTGATAAACTTTTGAGAAAATGGCCCTTGAATGTTTTGGTACACCTACTGGAGAGCTCTTCTTTGATTACACCCATTCAGCATCGTTCACACCCTCTTAAGCCTTAGCCCCACCCATCTCTTTAAGGATTCACATGTGAGGCCATGTGCTAAACAGAGTGAGTATGGTAGTGTACTAAACAACCAAAGATTTCAAAACTAACGGCTGGTTTATATTAAGTCTATCGACATGTCTGTAGACAGTTGTCGCAGTGACATCCTGAACATTCTATTGTCGTCCGACATCAAACTTGTCGTTGTCGTTATGAAAAAGTATTAACACAAAAACTACAGGCTGCATGACATCAGCAGCCTGGTGGTCCAAAATAGAATAGCTAGTGTATTTTAACACCAATAAACCCATCTGTTTAAAAATTAATTTATTATATGTCAATCTAGAAAACCAGGCAACTGAAAGCAACTTTCTAAACAATGTTTTGATTTGTTTCTAGCTTGTTAGATAATGACCATATTATATAGCTGACAACGTCTTAACTTTAGTTCATTTGTATTTATTATTACAGGAAAAATAAACTCACAACAATATCATTATTTACAAGTTAATGATGAGCTAATTACAGAAAATGGCTTACGGTTGTGAGTGTGACGAAATAAAAGCAGGGCATTCTACCAGATAATTTTTTTACTTGGACACTGTCTCGTTGGCCTAACGTTATATCCTAATTTGACTTTAGTGCAGGTCATGTTGTTCTTCACATTACCGTCTCTGGCAATTACACACTATATCAAATAAAATAAAAGTTCATTTGTCACATGCATAGGATACAAAAAAAAATAGCTAACATTAGGCTATAACTAGCAATGCAAATGGCTCTGAGATACGAATAATGTTACTACACAGATCATACACGTAACGTTAGCTAGTGAGCCAGTCAGCTAACGTTCACTAGCTAGCTAACAGTATGCTTTAACTTGCAATGAAAATGACTTTCTGACAAAATTTGAAAGCTAGCTAGACTCTCTTACCTATATACATGGATGAACGCTTCTCCCTCTCTGTCACGGATGCCATGGTTGCCCTTAGTTTGAAGATGTAATCCGGAGACAGGTGTTTTATACAACAGCCTTCTGTGTGTTCTCTTTTCGACTCCCTCTACATATTTGCAATCAAACGCTAGAATTATATCCATCTCCTTAGCTATCATACTCTGCTTCCACCGGGCATTCCACTGATTTCAAAACTCGGTCCTCCAGAAAGTGGAGAGCAACACTTTCGCAGCTCTACTACGTGATATCTTTTAAAAAAGCCGCTTTAGAAAGGAATACCTACACATACTGAGCAGCTCATGTTATAGACAGAAGCGTGCTATATGGCAGACCAATCCGAACTTATCTCTCGGCATGTCCAGCCCATCCATTGTCTCAGCCAATCATGGCTAGCGGGAAGGTTCCTGTCTTTTTCCGTGGCTTAACCAACTAGGCTCATAATTTAACATTTGTATTCGTATTTACAGATGGCATAAAAGTTTGTTATTAAGGCACATGAAAGTTCACATGTTCCAGAAGGCATTTCTGCTAAAAAACGCATTTTGATAAAAAATATGTATGGTTACATATGTTCAAATGCCTCTCCTGTGAAGTAGTGACGCGCGACATACGCCTAGTTTGTAGATTATCCCCAAAAAAATTCAAGCCCTATTCCCCAATTTTTTATGAATAGGTTGTTCATAGCATATGACATTTTAAAAATGAAATCTACAATGTACTATTTTTCATACTATTTACTATAGCATTGCATACTGGTGCAAAAAGTGCATGCAAAACATAGATATATAATAAATAACAACAAATATATACAGGTTCAGTCAAAAGTTAGGACACACCTACTCATTCAAGGGTTTTGCTTTATAAAAAAAAAGAATTACAAAGTAGAATAATAGTGAAGACATCAAAACTATGAAATAACACATATGGAATCATGTAGTAACCAAACAAGTGTTAAACAAATCAAAATATATTTTATATTTGAGATTCTTCAAATAGCCACCCTTTGCCTTGATGACAGCTTTGCACACTTGGCATTCTCTCAACCAGCTTCATGAGGTACTCACCTGGAATGCATTTCAGTAAACAGGTGTGCCTTCTTAAAAGTTAATTTGTGGAGTTTCTTTCCATCTTAATGCGTTTGAGCCAATCAGTTGTGTTGTGACAAGGTAGAGGGGGTATACAGAAGATAGCCCTATTTGGTAAAAGACCGAGTCCATATTATGGCAAGAACAGCTCAAATAAGCAAAGAGAAACGACAGCCCATCATTACTTCAAGACATGAATGTCATCAATCTCTATGATGAAACTGGCTCTCATGAGGACCGCCACAGGAATGGAAGACCCAGAGTTACCTGCTGCAGAGGATTTCATTAGAGTTACACAGCCCAAATAAATGCTTCACAGAGTTCAAGTAACAGACACATCTCAACATCAACTGTTCAGAGGGGACTGTGTGAATCAGGCCTTCATGGTTGAATTTCTGCAAAGAAACCACTACTAAAGGACACTAATAAGAAGAGACCTGCTTGGGCCAAGAAACACGACATTGGACATTAGACCAGTGGAAATGTGTGCTTTGGTCTGGAGTCCAAATTTGACATTTTTGGTTCCAACCGCAGTGTCTTTGTGAGATGCGGTGTGGGTGAACGGACGATCTCCGCATGTGTAGTTCCCACCGTAAAGCATGGAGGAGGTGTTATGGTGTGGGTGTGCTTTGCTGGTGACACTGTCTGTGAAAAACACTTAACCAGCATGGCTACCACAGCATCATTCTGCAGAGATATGCCATCCCATCTGGTTTGGGCTTAGTGGGACTATCATTTGTTTTTCAACAGGACAATGACCCAACACACATCCAGGCTGTGTAAGGGCTATTTTACCAAGAAGGAGAGTGATGGAGTGCTGCATCAGATGACCTTGCCTCCTCCACAATCACCCGACCTCAACCCAATTGAGATGGTTTGGGATGAGTCGGACGGCAGAGGGAAGGAAAAGCAGCCAACAAGTGCTCAGCATATGTGGGTACTCCTTCAAGACTGTTGGAAAAGCATTCCAGGTGAAGCTGGTGGAGAGAATGCCAAGAGTGTGCAATGCTGTCATCAAGGCAAAGGGTTAAATCACTTTCAACACTTTTTTGGTTACTACATGATTCCATATGTGTTATTTCATAGTTTTGATGTCTTCACTATTATTCTACAATGTAAGAAATAGTACAAATAAAGAAAAACCCTTGAATGAGTAGGTTTTGTCCAAACTTTTGACTGGTACTGTATATATCTGAGCTTTCTAACTCATGAAGAAATGTGTTATACGGCCATCCACTTAACATTTAACAGGCTAGTCCTCGTACCCGCATATGCATAGCCACAGGAAGTAGGGGTGCTGAGGGTGCTGCAGAACCCTCTGCTAAATCAAAATCAAATATAAAATAATAAGAAATAAATAAGAAATGAATAAACATTTCTACAAAATGTGTGAACTAGGCCTTTATTACTCCTGTATGTGCAGAAAAAAATACTCCTCAGCACCCACCCACCTCGCAGGACAATAAGTTGCCCCCATCCCTCCTGCTAATTGGGCGACGTTTGCAAATGTTTTGTTGTTTGAGTGAGGGAGACGTTGAGGATTATAATAAATACTGCTTTGATGTCATACAAGCAAGCTAAACACTTGTGAATCAAAATGTGCACTTCACATTTCCATATCATATCGTTGTTATACCCTGGGTTGTTCTGAACCGAATGAGCCAATGTTTCTCTATTGTTAAGAAAATGTGCTGCATCACGCAACTGAATGCTCTCGTGACTCCTTTCTATGCGCACCAAAATTATTATCTGTTTCCCTGAAATGCATTGTGAAAGCTTAACATTGTAATATCATATTTTATAACTAGTCATGTTGGCAATAGAACAAGCCTTCAAATTATGCCTACCTGACCCAGATTGGGATTTATAATGGACCGTTTTTGGATTGCGTTAACAACAACAGTAATTGTGTGATGACTGGGATGGAGGGTTGTGTTCCAACCAAAACAACTACAAGTGTGCTTGCTCTAGTTCCTCAACGGCACAGCTAGATGAGCTCATAGTTGGAGACTCTTCTTTGAGTCATAAAATTGCATAGAAATTGCTTAGGAACTGTGCCCACTTTGGAGAGGTGTGTGGCCACTTGGAGACACCAGGTAGACCTCTCACTCAAATACTTGTAATTTCTTTGTTTTATGTTGCAACTACCCCACATTTTCCAGGAATATTCTTATCATGTTACTGAATGTATGCAGAGTATTTTCAGATTTCGTTATCAAGAAATGCGGTGAAAAGTACAGTAAATGTAAAATATAAATAAAATCAACAGTGTCATTTTAGGATTCAGTCTTGTGTCAGGTGAACTGTTGTGTCCTCACCTTTTGGTCTAATAATTTTTCCATAATCTCCAAACTGTTCCATTTCAATTGCTAAGATTGTTATGCATTTCATATTTCTTATGTAAGAAACATTTAATTTTAGCCCTATCCATATAGGCCAATTCCCACGAGTGTAAAGGATTAAGGATATTATGCTTTATTGTTGTAAAAACCAAGCCAATGTCTCTACTGAATATGTGCTTAATGAACAATGCTTTTACTTCAACTGGAGTGGAATTATATTTAGCAGGTATGAATGCTTGTATTGTTGTTTTCCCACAGATGCAAATATGTGCAGGAAGTGCAGTGAAAACTGCTTGAGATGCACCTCGGCGAACATCTGCACAGAATGCAAATCCGGCACAAGGTAACCAATCCCTCTGATGATGCCCGAATTACCAACTCATGCATTTCTTCTCTGTACACAGTGATTCTCCATCTCAGCCACAGAGAATACTAATTCACACACATACACACACATATTCTAAACCTATTGCAACAAAGCAAACTCCTATTATAATATTTGTTGTATTTTGGAGAGTTATCAGATGAAACTTCTTAATGAGTGTGTGCTCAGGGTCGGAACACAGAGCCCAGATAATGATGAGTCTCGCTCTCTCTTTCTCTCTCTCTCTCTCTCTCTCTCTCTCTCTCTCTCTCTCTCTCTCTCTCTCTCTCTCTCTCTCTCTCTCTCTCTCTGTCTGTCTGTCTCTGTCTGTATGTCTCTCATTCACTCACTTACTCACTCTCCCTCCCCCCACCCCTCTATCACTCTCTCTCCAGTCTGTTGGGGAACCGTTGCCAGAGGAGCTGTGGACCAGGAAGTTACCACAATGTGCAGGAGAGCACCTGCGAGCCCTGCCACAAGGCCTGTGCCACCTGTGCAGGTAAAGGGAGGGATGACTTGGATCATACCAAATCAAACAGGACCCTAAGCCATATTTGAAAAAATACAGTACTAATCATGGAGCTAGTCATCAGCATCACCATCTACCTGAAGTGATAATGTGTCATGAGAGGGACAATTTATGTGTTTACAGTACACATGTTGTCTCCAGGTGCAGGTGTTTAGATGGGTTACAGTGTGTGTGTGTGTGTGTGTGCGTGTGTGTGTATGTGTGTGTATGTGTGCCTGCATGTGTGTGTGTTTGCCTGCGTGCACGTGTGTGTGTTATCCCAGGTGCGGGCATTGAGGCGTGTAACCAGTGTGCTGATGGTTATCTGATGGAGGAGTGGAAGTGTGTATCCTCCTGCAGTGCTGGCTTCTATGCCATGGAGAGCAGCCCACAGACAACTAGTGATGGACCCAGGATATGCAGGAGGTGAGTGAGTGAGCTCTGAGTCTTGGTGTAGGTGGATTGTTCATTATTATGATGGTTGACCCCATTCCAAAATGTGTATAATAATAATTTGGTGGGTGCTTATATTTGTCCTATTTCACACATGCGTGTTAATACACGTGTGAATTGTACATGTGCTTTTTGCATAGTCCAACTCCCCAACAGCCAGGGTCTGCCATTATCAATGGTGACCCTATAAGCACCCACCAAATTAAGATCAAGTCCCTTCCTCAAGTGCACATTGACAGATTTTTCACCTTGTCTGCTCGAACTAGTGACCTTTCGGTTAATAGCCCAACACTAACTGCTAGGCTACCTGCCGCCCTGTGTGTGCGTGTGTGTGTTATTGTGCGTGTGTGTCTGTCTATTTGTGTGTGAGTTTGTGCGTGCGTGCTTGTGTTCATGTCTCTGTCTATTTCTGTGCACATGTGTGTGTTTATGTAATCTCAGCCAGTCTGCTGGTACCACCTCAGGTGTGATGCCAGCTGTCTCACCTGTGTGGGAGCGGGGAAGGGGAACTGCAGCAGCTGTGCCAGTGGACACAGTCTTCTGGACAAAGTGTGTATGGTCAGCACCGTCTGTGGTGATGGTCAGTCAATCAATCAATCATTCTCCTTAAACTCACTCGTACAACCTAGTGTCTATTCCAGGGGTGAAGGTAAGGCGGTACGGTCCGGTACGGCATCCCAGCTAAATATATACTGGGGGTATGCCGTACCGGTAAAACATGAGCCTATCACAATAATTAAAACAACATTTCAAGAAAACTGTAGGCTATTACACCACTTCTTATCATTAGCGCATGTCAGAGGCATTAAAAATGAGCGAATGGACATGAAAACGGGTTGTATAGCCTATGCTCCAAAATGCGATGTGGCTCCACAAGAACACAGACATTTTGCCAAGGCAGAGATGAGTGGCCAACTCTGAGACGCTCACGGACAGCAGTGGAAGCATATATTCTGTCCTAATGACAATCGCCAAATGTAATTACACTTTTTGGTGTCTAGTGTAACAGATGTCTCTTTCCATTCATTCACCACTGTTTGGAGGCTGGAAATACACTACATTACCAAAAGTATGTGGACACCTGCTCGTCGAACATCTCATTCCAAAATCATGGGCATTAATATGGAGTTGGTCCCCCTTTTGCTGCTATACAGTAACAGCCTCCCCTCTTCTGGGAAGGATTTCCACTAGATGTTGGAACATTGCTGCGGGGACTTGCTTCCATTCAGCCACAAGAGCATTAGTGAGGTCGGGCGCTGATGTTGGGCGATTAGGCCTGGCTCGCAGTCGGCATTCCAATTCATCCCAAAGGTGTTCAATGGGGTTGAGGTCAGGGCTCTGTGTATGCCAGTCAAGTTCCTCCACACCGATCTCGACAAGCCATTTCTGTATGGACCTCGCTTTGTGCACAGGAGCATTGCCATGCTGAAACAGGAAAGTGCCTTCCCCAAACTGTTGCCACAAAGTTTTAAGCACATAATCATCTAGAATGTCATTGTATGCTATAGCGTTAAGATTTCCCTTTACTGGAACTAAGGGCCCTAGATCAAACCATGAAAATCAGCCCCAGAAATGTTTTCCTCCTACTCGGTAGTGAGTGTTGCAACCGAGGACAGACGATTTTTACGTGCCACGTGCTTCAGCACACAGCAGTCTCGTTCTGTGAGCTTGTGTGGCCTACCACTTCGCGGCTGAACCGTTGTTGCTCCTAGACGGTTCCACTTCACAATAACCGGGGCAGCTCTAGCAGGGCAGAAATTTGATGAACTGACTTGTTGGAAAGGTGGCATCCTGTGATGATGCCACGTTGAAAGTCACTGATCTCTTCAGTACGGGCCATTCTACTGCCAATGTTTGTCTATGGAGATTGGATGGCTGTGTGCTCGATTTTATACACCTGTCAGCAACAGGAGTGGCTGAAATAGCCAAATCCACTAATTTGAAGGGGTGTCCACATACCTTTCGTGATGTAGTGTGTGTTGTGTGTGGATGAACGTGCGTGGGTAACCTAGTAAAGGAGCCCTTTTGAAGTGATTGTCAGATGAAAACATCATGACTGGTTGTTTTTATGCCACAATAAAAGGTAATACATTTTTTAAGTAAATGACAAATCTTTACAGGGATTCTATATGTAATTCTATGATTAGGCCCATAACATTTTTGGGTACACGCGCTTGATAGGAGGTCCCGTACCGCGAATAAATGAATTCTACTTTCACCCCTGGTCTATTCAGATAGTGAATCGTATAGCTACTGTGTTAGTGTTGGTCACACTTTATATTATTACTACAAAGTAACTATACATATAACTAATGAAACGTAATCTGATCAGTTTCCTTTCATTTACAAATCAAATATAGTTGTAAATGCCTCATCTGCAGTTGCCTGTATTAAAGTATTACATGGTAATTACATGAAATAACAACATAAATGTAAAATGTTGCCTTTGTGTTTTGCTTGCAGGAGAGTACCAGGATAGCCATGGGAAGTGCCATGCATGTGATGCCACGTGTGTGAAGTGTACAGGCCCAAAGTCAGAGGACTGTATCAGCTGTGACCCCTCTAGGTAAGTCTATGGTGAGGACTGTATCAACTGTTGCCCCTCTAGGTAAGTCTATGGTGAGGACTGCATCAACTATGGCCCCTCTAGGTGAGTCTATGGTGAGGACTATCAGCTGTGAGCCTTCTAGGAAAGTCAATGGTGAGGACTGTATCAGCTGTGAGCCTTCTAGGTAAGTCAATGGTGAGGACTGGATCAACTATGGCCCCTCTAGGTAAAGGGATTTCCATACAGGAAGAGGTGGGGCGGAGCGGAGTTCCCTATAATGGAGATTCTTATTTTCTCCGCCTCGGCTGAGTGGCTTTCACGTACATGAGCACCGCTGATCGCTCTGCCTGGATAGAATTCCACCCCCGTCTAGCTCCATTGAAAATGAATGGGCATCTCCGCCGGCGCTTCATGTCTTTAGAGGGATACTTCGGGATTTTGGCAATGAGGCCCTTTATCTACATCCCCAGAGTTAGATGAACTCGTCGATAAAAATTTTATGTCTCTGTGTCCAGTATGAAGGAAGTTAGAGGTAGCATGCTAGAAGATACCCAGAGGCTTCCAGTCATTGCGCTAACGCTAGTTAGCATTGGCTCACAAACTACCACTGACTTCCTTCATACTGGATACAGAGACATAGAAATGGTATCCACTCACCTAGAGGGGCAATAGTTGATACAGTCCTCACCATAGACTTACCTAGAGGGGTAATAGTTGATACAGTCGTGACCATAGACTTACCTAGAGGGGCCATAGTTGATACAGTCCTAACCATCGACTCACCTAGAAGGCTCACAGCTGATAGTCTTTACCATAGACTCACCTAGAGGGGCCATGTTCCTCTCTGACCTCTGTTGCTCTCTTCCTGTGTCATCCTTTCTGAGACACTTATTTTTACATATAAAAGGTGCATTCTGGTAAATGTACATCCCTTTTGGTAACACAAGGCAATACAAAAACAAAATTAGCCTAGAGGCTAAACAAAAAGTGCCAGCACTTTTTACAGGCAATGAAAGTTCCAGATTGCACCTTTAAATGGATAGTGCGAGATTCTGGCCATTAAGCAGTTTTTCTACTTATTCAGAGTCAGATGAACTCGTGGTGGATGCCATTTTTATGTTTCTGCATGCAGTTTGAAGCAAGTTGGAGGTAGTTTCGCGAGCCAATGCTTACTAGCGTTAGCACAATGACTGGAAGTCTACAGGTACCGCTAGCATGCTCCACCGGAGGCAAATGTAGTTTATAGTTAGGTGCTGTTGTCTCATTGTCTCAGGTCCCTGGATGAGGGTCGCTGTGTGGCTCAGTGTGCCCAGGGGAAGTACCAGTCAGGTGGGCAGTGCCACCTGTGTGACCACACCTGTGCCATGTGCATGGATGGAGGGCCTGCCAACTGCACCAGCTGTGACACCGGTGAGCGGAAGGGACACCTGTCATTCTAACTGACACAGTCCGATGGACATGTGCTCTGGCTCTGGGACAACAAACACATTGCACTTATACCACTAACAAATCTATCTTTTACTGTAATAGACTAACTGTGTGTGTGTGTGTGTGTGTGTGTGTGTGTGTGTGTGTGTGTGTGTGTGTGTGTGTGTGTGTGTGTGTGTAACGATTGTGCATCTGTCTGCCTGCCTGCTTGTCCTCCATCTGTGTTTCCCTCAGATAAATTCAACATGGACCGCTACCTGTACAAGGGGGGTTGTGTCGACGCTTGTCCGGAAGGCCATTACCATACCCAGGAGAAGAGCTGCGAGGCCTGCCCCGACAACTGCAAACTCTGCACCTCCGCCACACACTGCCTGCGCTGTAACTCCTCCTACTACATCACTGATGGAGTCTGCACCCAACTGGAGTGTGGAGAAGGTGACAGACATAGCCAAAATGTTGTTTGATTTTGTGTTCTTATATAATACCTGTCTACATCAAGTATAAACATGAAAAATAAAAGTATTTTGAAGTATTTCTGTCTCCATAGAGAATCGTAATTCCCCTTTTTCCCATCTCTCTCTCTCTCTCTCTCTCTCTTTGTCTGGCTCCCCTCTCTGTCTGTCTGTCTTTCTGTCTGTCTCTGCACCACACTCTCTCCCTTTCTCTCTCTTTCATACAGGTGAGGTGGAGGATCCAGAGTATGATGACTGTATGGCCTGTGAGGAAGGCTGTAAGAAGTGTGTACTGTGTAAGTTAGTCTACCCATGTACCATGTGGACCCTATCTGAACTCCTGTCTGTCTGTCTCTGTCTCTGTCTCTGTCTCTGTCTGTCTGTCTGTCTGTCTGTCTGTCTGTCTGTCTGTCTGTCTCTCTGTCTGTCTCTCTGTCTGTCTGACTGTCTGTCTGTCTGTCTAGGATGAAAGGATGTCTAAGTGTGTTTTTCTGTATTCCTCAGATAACCCCAGGCATTGCCTATCCTGCACTGACGGCTTTTACAAGTAAGTAGTACAAGGAATAAAAATCTTGCAGAAAGTATTATTTTAATCTTAATGAAACCCCCCTTAGATTATGGAATATGACCTCAATATTCAATATCTCCGTGTGTAAATGAATGGGTGACAGTGGAGGAAGATGACACAAACCAACTTCTTGCATTGAGTGTAGATTCCAAGATGGCTGCTACAAGAACTGCCCAGCGAAGACGTTCAGCGTAGAGGAGGAGATGGCCTGTGTGCCGTGTGATGAGAAGTGCGTCAGCTGTGACGAACACGAGTGCTACTGGTGTGAAACCGACCTCTTCTTATCAGGTAAGGGTTTGGTCGGTGCAACTGTTTGTGTTGTGTGTGGGTTTGTGTGTGTGCTTGCATGTGTGTGCTTGCGTGTGTGTTCTTGACATGTTTTAAAGTATGCTCTGTTCCACCTAGAGGGGAAGTGTGTGCCGGAGTGTCCGGACGGTTTCTACGGAGACGAAGACACCCAGGAGTGTGAAGAGTGTCACTCTGACTGTGTGACATGCAGCGGTCCCGACAGTGATGACTGTGTGTCGTGTGAGGAGGGGAAAAGCCGGGAGGAGGGGGAGTGCGTCTCTAAACAGGATTTCTGCCCTGTTAAGACCTTCCTCACTGGTGAGATTTAAAGGATGAATTTACCGGAAAATAACCAGATAATGGAACGTTCAAAAGTTCACCTATACTGCAGTAAATGTGCTTCAAAGTGGATGTTACCACACTGTCAGGGCGTATTTCAGAAATGTATTACATTACACAAGTTATTGTTAAATGATTGCCAATGACCTTGGCACTTCACTTTACCCTGTGAGGGAGTTTGTTACATTAACAATTGACTTGTTTGGTGTTTTCTCGTGTTCTTCCCTGCAGGTGAAGGAGAGTGTGAGGCCTGCCATGCCTCCTGTGACTCATGTTCAGGAGAGGAGAAGAGCCAGTGTAAAACCTGTGTGAAAGGTCTGACCATATTTCTGCCTGTCAATTTGTCAGAATGTGTGTAGTGTGCACTCGTCTGTTTCCAGTGAGGTCAGCTTAAACTCTGTGAAAAGAGAAAGATAAGCACATCCCACTGGTTCAGTTCTCGTCCTGATTGCAGACCGTGGCAGTGTGTGTGCGTGCTTGCGTGTGTGTCTGTCTATTCTGACCGTATCCTTCCTGTGCTCCTCCCAGGGCGGTTCCTGTCGGCAGAGCATGTGTGTGTGTTGAAGTGTCCAGCGGGCTCATTCGCCAGCCGGCTGAGCGGTGTGTGTGAGGCGTGTCCTCGGGGGTGTGTGCAGTGTGTGGACGAGCATCACTGCACCCGCTGTCAGGTGGTACGCAAGGCCCCGCTCTACCTGCAGGACGGACAATGTGTTCATCAATGCCAGAGGTCAGAGTTCATATGAATATGTTAAAGGTGATAGTTCGGGATTTTGGCAAAGAGGCCCTTTATCTACTTAGTCAGATGAACTTGTGGATACCATTTTTATGTAGTCTGTGGCTGTGAATAGGATGCACCTGAGCTCAATTTCGAGTCTCATAGCAAAGGGTCTGAATACTTATGTAAATTAGGTATTTCCGCTTTTTTTTTAAAATAACTTTTACAAAAAATTCTAAAAACTTGTTTTGACTTTGTCATTGTAAGGTATTGTGTGTAGATTGATGAGGGAAAAAAATAATTTCATCAATTTTAGAATAAGGCTGTAACGTAACAAAATGTGGAAAAGGGGTCTGAATACTTTCCGAATGCACTGAATACCATCCATTTCCCGTACGACTAATAAAAGTTGAAACTGATGTAGGGACTCCCTAAAAACACGCCACTTCGATACAAGTTACTTTTCGTAGCAGTTTAGGAGAGCATTTTCGATAACCCTAACCATTTTCCTAACCATAACCTAATTCTCATAACCTGCAATGTTAATTCTCCTAACCTACTTCGTAAGTTCTTTTAACCTGCTACAAAACATTCGTAGCTGTATCAAATTGCTGTGTTTTTTAGGGAATCTCTGATTTGAGTCTGCGTCCAGAATGAACGAAGTTAGAGGTAGTTTCGTGAGCCAATGCTAACTAGTGTTAGCGCAATGACTGGAAGTCTACAGGAATGGGTAGCATGCTAGTCATTGCGCTAATGCTAGTTAGCAATTACGCAAACGCTAGATAGCAACTTGCTTCAAACTGCATGCAGAGACATAGAAATGGTATCCACAAGTTCATCTGACTCTGAGGAAGTAGAAAAAGGGCCTTATTGCAAAAATCCCAAACTGTCCCTTTAAAGGTGCAGTTGATAACACATTTTTGGCTGCTCCTACACTTCTTGTCAAATGTGTTTGTAGCTAGTACCTTAATTCTAGACTGCAACTTCAATGCTTTATTTTACATTCATAATCACGGTTTAACATTTTTTCTTCTTGAAAGTCTTTGAATCTTTAATCCTGATCCTAGAGACCCCAGGATGTGCAGGTTTCTGTTCCAACGCAGGACTAATACACCATTTTGATCATGATTTATTGCTCCTCTTCCCACACATCATTGCTGTGGAAAATGATGATGTATTATATGACATGGTGATGTATTCTAAGTATTGTCCTCTTTATCTAAAGGGCATATATACCTTTCATTTTACAGAACTGGAGTGCCTGCTGAACTGTACTGTACCTACTCAAACCCTCTCAGTTGTAATGACAGCTTTCCAGAAGATGCTCTTCTCCACCACAATGTCATGGATTGACTCCAATTGCTCACTCCCCCTTGTGGATTTAGAAGCATTGGATTGGTCTAGGCAATTTACACCATACTTCTAACACCAGTCCATGAGAGGGAGTAAACGAGTGCACACTTTGGGGAGAAGGGTAGAGAATGAGGCCATAGCCTCAGTGTGCAACTAACGTCCTATTTGCTGTGCTCTCCCACTGTGTACTGTAGTGGGTATCCAGCGGGCCAGGTGTGTCGTGGCTGTGCGACAGGCTGTGCCTCCTGTGAGAGGAATGCCACTCATTGTCTGAGCTGTGTGGAGCCCCTCCTTCTGTACAAACACCAGTGTGTGGAGGCCTGCCCCCCTGCACACACACTCAGGGACGGGGAGTGTCAGCACTGTCCCACAGCCTGCCAGGAGTGTAGCCCCCACAGCGAGTGCACAGGTGAGGCACACACAGACGAGAGTAGTGATGGCATATTTGTATTTTTATTTTTTAAGGATCCCCATTAGCTGCTGCCTTTTCCTGGGGTCCAGAAAAATTAAGGCAGTTATATACAATTTCAAATATTACATTACATTACATTTCATAACACTTTTCACAACGCATTAAGTGTGTTCCCTCAGGCCTCTACTCTACTATCACATACAGTGGGGAGAACAAGTATTTGATACACTGCCGATTTTGCAGGTTTTCCTACTTACAAAGCATGTAGAGGTCTGTCATTTTTATCATAGGTACACTTCAACTGTGAGAGACGGAATCTAAAACAAAAATCCAGAAAATCACATTGTATGATTTTTAAGTAATTAATTTGCATTTTATTGCATGACATAAGTATTTGATCACCTACCAACCAGTAAGAAGTCCGGCTCTCACAGACCAGTTAGTTTTTCTTTAAGAATCCCTCCACTCATTACCTGTATTAACTGCACCTGTTTGAACTCGTTACCTGTATAAAAGACACCTGTCCACACACTCAATCAAACAGACTCCAACCTCTCCACAATGGCCAACACCAGAGAGCTGTGTAAGGACATCAGGGATAAAATTGTAGACCTGCACAAGGCTGGGATGGGCTACAGGACAATAGGCAAGCAGCTTGGTGAGAAGGCAACAACTGTTGGCGCAATTATTAGAAAATGGAAGAAGTTCAAGATGACAGTCAATCACCCTCGGTCTGGGGCTCCATGCAAGATCTCACCTTGTGGGGCATCAATGATCATGAGGAAGGTGAGGGATCAGCCCAGAACTACACGGCAGGACCTGGTCAATGACCTGAAGAGAGCTGGGACCACAGTCTCAAAGAAAACCATTAGTAACACACTACGCCGTCATGGATTAAAATCCTGCAGCGCACGCAAGGTCCCCCTGCTCAAGCCAGCGCATGTCCAGGCCCGTCTGAAGTTTGCCAATGACCATCTGGATGATCCAGAGGAGGAATGGGAGAAGGTCATGTGGTCTGATGAGACAAAAATAAAGCTTTTTGGTCTAAACTCCACTCGCCGTGTTTGGAGGAAGAAGAAGGATGAGTACAACCCCAAGAACTCCATCCCAACCGTGAAGCATGGAGGTGGAAACATCATTCTTTGGGGATGCTTTTCTGCAAAGGGGATAGGACGACTGCACCGTATTGAGGGGAGGATGGATGGGGCCATGTATCGCGAGATCTTGGCCAACAACCTCCTTCCCTCAGTAAGAGCATTGAAGATGGGTCGTGGCTGGGTCTTCCAGCATGACAACGACCCAAAACACACAGCCAGGGCAACTAAGGAGTGGCTCCGTAAGAAGCATCTCAAGGTCCTGGAGTGGCCTAGCCAGTCTCCAGACCTGAACACAATATAAAATCTTTGGAGGGAGCTGAAAGTCCGTATTGCCCAACGACAGCCCCGAAACCTGAAGGATCTGGAGGTCTGTATGGAGGAGTGGGCCAAAATCCCTGCTGCAGTGTGTGCAAACCTGGTCAAGACCTACAGGAAACTTATGATCTCTGTAATTGCAAACAAAGGTTTCTGTACCAAATATTAAGTTCTGCTTTTCTGATGTATCAAATACTTATGTCATGCAATAAAATGCAAATGTGTATCTTTCTGGAAGACTGAAACAGGTTTCCCTCAACAATTTCCCTGTATTTAGCGCCATCCATCATTCCTTCAATTCTGATGAGTTTCCCAGTCCCTGCCGATGGAAAAACATCCCCACAGCATGATGCTGCCACCACCATGCTTCACTGTGAGGATGGTGTTCTCGGGGTGATGAGAGGTGTTGGGTTTGCGCCAGACATAGCGTTTTCCTTGATGGCCAAAAAGCTCAATTTTAGTCTCATCTGACCAGAGTACCTTCTTCCATATGTTTGGGGAGTCTCCCACATGCCTTTTGGCGAACACCAAACGTGTTTGCTTATTTTTTTCTTTAAGCAATGGCTTTTTTCTGGCCTCACTTCCGTAAAGCCCAGCTCTGTGGAGTGTACGGCTTAAAGTGGTCCTATGGACAGATACTCCAATCTCCGCTGTGGAGCTTTGCAGCTCCTTCAGGGTTATCGTTTGTCTCTTTGTTGCCTCTCTGATTAATGCCCTCCTTGCCTGGTCCGTGAGTTTTGGTGGGCGGCCCTCTCTTGGCAGGTTTGTTGTGGTGCCATATTCTTTCAATTTTAAAAAAATGGATTTAATGGTGCTACGTGGGATGTTCAAAGTTTCTGATCTTTTTTTATAACCCAACCCTGATCTGTACTTCTCCACAACTTTGTCCCTGACCTGTTTGGAGAGCTCCTTGGTCTTCATGGTGCCGCTTGCTTGGTGGTGCCCCTTGCTTAGTGGTGTTGCAGACTCTGGGGCCTTTCAGAACAGGTGTATATACAGTGGGGAGAACAAGTATTTGATACACTGCCGATTTTGCAGGTTTTCCTACTTACAAAGCACCTCTTCCACACTCACTTTACGGAATTCAAAATTACAACGCTTGTCTTTCATAATTTCATCAGTTATACCGTATTTTCCGCACTATAAGGTGCACTTAAAAGCCTTTAATTTTCTCAAAAAACGACAGTGCGCCTTATAATCCGGAGCGCCTTATATATGGATCAATTGGTTAATTGGTTGATCCATACTGGTTGTACACGGCGCTCAAGGCGCTCTGTCAAGATGTTTCAGTATGAAAAAACAATAAAAACAATTTAATAATAATGAAATGTTTCAGTACAACTGGTAAACTACAAAGCCGCACCGCTTGCAGCATTACGGCTACCGTAGTCAGTAAACACCGGTACTGTGCTTACTCACAGTCCCACACCACTTGTGTGTGTATAAAGACCCCAAAATGGCACCTTTCAAGAGACACGCTTATGACGCAGAGTTCAAGCTCAAGGCTGTCGGTCACGCAGTAGAATATGGGAATAGAGCAGCAGCGAGAGAATTCAACATGAATGAATCAATGGTACGGAAGTGGAGGAAGCAAGAAGATGACCTGCGCCAAGTAAAGAAGACTAAACAGAGTTTCCGAGGGAACAAAGAGAGATGGCCACAGTTAGAGGACAAAACTCGAACAGTGGGTTGTTGAACAGAGAGCAGCAAGTAGAAGCATCTCTACAGTCACTATTCGAATGAAGGCAACAGTGCTAGCACGGGACATGATCATCGATGAATTTCGAGGCGGTCCTTCTTGGTGCTTTCGTTTTATGAAAAGACGTAATCTCTCCATCCGCACACGAACTACCGTCTCGCAGCAACTGCCAAAAGATTACCAAGAAAAGCTGGTCACTTTCCGCGCATACTGCAAAAAGAAGATCACTGAAAAGAAGATCCGGCCAGAGCACATCACCAACATGGACGAGGTTCCACTCACCTTTGATATTCCCGTGAACCGCACTGTGGAGAAAACGGGGACCAGTACGGTGTCTGTACGCACCACAGGGAATGAGAAGTCATCCTTCACTGTAGTTCTCACCTGCCAGGCTAATGGCCAGAAACAAGAGGAAGACCTTGCCAAAAGAAAACTTTCAAGCGGGCGTCGTCATCAAAGCTAGCCCGAAGGGATGGATGGATGAGGAAAAGATGAGTGAGTGGCTGAGAGAAATTTACGTCAAGAGACTGGGTGGCTTTTTCCACACAGCTCCGTCCCTATTGATCTACGACTCAATGCGCGCCCATATCACCGATGCTGTCAAAAAACAAGTGAAGCAAACTAATTCCGGAGCTTGCCGTCATTCCGGGTGGATTAACTAAAGAACTCCAGCCGCTAGATATTGGTGTCAACAGGGCGTTCAAAGCTAGACTGCGAGCTGCGTGGGAGCAGTGGATAACAGAAGGCGAACACACGTTCACCAAGACGGGGAGACAGCGCCGGGCGACTTACGCCACTATCTGCCAATGGATCGTGGATGCCTAGGCTGATATATCAGTCTCAACTGTGGTCAAAGCTTTCACGAAGGCAGGAATAATCTCTGAACTGCCAGGCAACAGCAGCGACACTGACTCTGATAATGACGAGAGGGAGCCGGGCAGGTTGGATGCCGTAGTCGCCCAACTGTTCAATTCGGACACTGAAGAAGAATAATTCGAGGGATTCGTGGACGGGGAATGAACTGAAAAAGTGAGCTTTACGTGTTATACGTAACTGAACAATGTTGAGTTATGCACTAACGTTTGATTTAGTGGTATCAGACTGTTTCTTTTACTACGTGTTTACTGAATCAGGGAAAAGTTCCCCTCCACGTTTGGGAGAAGAGTGAGCAAGGCTGGGAGATATTGTTAATATGCACATTAACGTTTGAACAACGTTACCATGGGAGTGAACAGAGTTGTCAGAATGCTTAATAAAGTTTGACTTTATCTGACAGTTTTGTTGACATTCCCTTTAGCACAGCTCCATCTAGTGGATGCATAACGCAACCCCAGTCAAACGTTTGACTACAGTATCTTCTATTCTATGCGCCTTATAATCCGGTGCGCCCTATATATGAAAACAGTTCTAAAATAGGCCATTCATTGAAGGTGCGCTTTATAATCCGGTGCGCCTTATAGAGCGGAAAATACGGTACTTGGATGTGTAGTGTCAGCGTTTGTTGCTGGCATGTCATGCCAAAGTATGCGAAACATGCCAATGAAAAAAATCATTAAATGAATTGCCAATTTCAGTGGGTTTTGTGATGAGTGAGCCATCTGATTCAATGAATGATGAAATGGTGTTGAGTTTGCCTTTTTGCCCAAAATTGTATTTAAGGTGCTCCAAAGCTTTTTATTATCATTCCTTATATCATTTGTCTTTGTTTCATAGTATAGTTTATTCTTCCTTTTATTCAGTTTAGTCACATGATTTCTCAATTTGCAGTACGTTTGCCAATCGGTTTTGCAGCCAGACTTATTTGCCATTCCTTTTGCCTCATCTCTCTTAACCATACCATTTTTCAATTCCTCATCAATCCAAGGCGATTTTAAGGTTTTTAGTCATTTTCTTAATGGGTGCATGCTTATTAGTAACTGGAATAAGCAATTTCATAAATGTGTCAAGTGCAGCGGCTGGTTGCTCCTCATTACACACCACAGACCAACAAACATTCTTTATACACTATATTAGGCCCAGCCTTTGGAACTTTGGTTTTCCTAGATATGGCTACTATATTGTGATCACTACATCCGATGGATTTGGATACTGCTTTAAAGGACATTTCTGCAGCATTAGTAAAGATGTGATCAATACATGTTGATGATTTAATTCCTGTGCTGTTTGTAACTACCCTGGTAGGTTGACTGATAACCTGGACCAGGTTGCAGGCACTAGTTACAGTTTGAAGCTTTTTCTTGAGTGGGCAGCTTGATGAAAGCCAGTCAATATTTAAATCACCCAGAAAATATACCTCTCTGTTGAGATCACATACACTATCAAGCATTTCACATGTTATCCAGATAAAGGGCAAAGAGAGAAGAAGAGATATTAAAATCAATAGGTAGCCAGACAGGGAACAAGAAATTCCCTCTCTTAATCCATCAGTCTCCTTTCTCTCTCTCTCTCTCTCTCCCCCCCCCCCAGGCTGTGAGGAGTACCACTTCCTCTACGAGGGCCGCTGTGTGGTGGACTGTCCCGAGAGGTTCTTCCAGGACTCTGAGCAGGATGTGTGTGTCCGCTGTCACCCTGACTGTGCCCAGTGTGATGGTCCGGACGGGGACGACTGTGACTCCTGTGCAGACCCAGAGGCTACCCTGCACAACGGAGCCTGTCTGCCGAACTGCCCCTCCCACACCTATAGGGACAGCAGGACTGGGCAGTGCAAAGGTGAGGAGGCTTAGATCTTGACACAGTGGTTCCTAAGTATTTTAGGACTGAGATCCCTTTAAACCCTTTACAAGTTTGTGCCCTACCAAATAAAGAAAACCAACCACAAGGGGAAAAGTATGCACTTCTCCAGTGTACTATAGGTAATTTAGACTCTTGACTAGGTAATGTAGATTCCATGCAACCCAGTGCTGTGACATATCTGGTTTCTGTGTGATATCTAGTTTCTCTGTGCTAACTTTTTCCAGACTGCGATGGCTCCTGTCTCACGTGCTCGGGGCCCCACGCTGGCTCCTGCTCCAGCTGCAGAGAGGGTCAGAGAGTGGACGCCCATGGACACTGTGACCCCCTGGTCAACAGGTGCACCCCCCGCCACTACACTGACCAGGATGGAGAATGCCACCCATGCCACAAGTACTGCCAGCAGTGCAACGGGCCAGGCAAGAGCCACTGTCTGAGCTGCAACCAGAACCATTTTATACTGAGTGAGTGGAGTCATTCTCATTTCTCAATCCCTGATCAGACACCAGTGTTATGCTAGCTGTAGATAAGACACAGTGCAATGCTAAGAATAGAAGAGAAGAGAAAAAACAGTCACTGAAAGTATATTTTGTTTAGAACAGGGGTGACGAACTCATTTTGCCATTCGGTTTTCATTGAGGCCCGGAAGGGCCACACTGATAATGTGTTATATTTCCTTGCCGACAAAATTAGCTAAAAATAGTCCTCTATCCATCATTTTTGGAATTGTTGATGCTCCCTGACTGTCTAGTGATTATTAGCGAGCTGGACAGTCAAGAAACTGTATGAATATAGGTCCATTATCATTTCTACACAGTTCTGATTTGGTTTGAGTCTTTTTGAAGTATATTGAGTTAGTTTCCCCCTTAAAAAATATATATATATTTATATATATTTTTTTTACTCAAACCACCCGCCGGCCGGATTAGACCCTATGTTTGACACCCCTGGTTTAGATGTTTAATTCATGAGTAGCAGTAGCAGATGTAACAAACAAGACACTTTTCCACGCCAGCCGTCGTGAACAGAAATTGTTAATTTGGCCTGAGCCACCATTTCATGTTGAATGATTAGTGTGTGTGTTTGTGCATGTGCACGTGCGTGTGCTTGTGTGTGTGTGTGTACGCTCATCCGTGTGGGTGTGTGTGTGCAGATGGTACCTGCATGGACATCTGTCCTACTGGGTTCTACCAAGAGGAGTCAGGCCAGAGATGTGAAGCATGTCACCCAGCCTGTCTCACCTGCATGGGCAGACACAGCCACGAGTGTCTCAGCTGCAAGGACCACCTATTCAGAGAGGGCAAGGAGTGTGTGGACACCTGCCAGATAAGGTATAATTATAGTATTGTTATTTATCTGTCACTTTGACTTTGGAAGATAATGTTAGGATATGGTCGCATAGTTATTTTATCAATTTTATTTTATCCAAAACAACTTATATTATTTATGACAATGCTATAATTTTTTAACAGTTAACATTAACTCCAGTATATGTGGCCCATGTATAGCAACTCACAAACTCAAAATGTTAGTGTTGCATCACCATGCTCCATCGGACCTGGACCAATGGAGTCTGGGCAGACCATTCATCATATTGTGTTGTTTCACGCACACTGTGTCTTCTGTGCTGTATAATATATTGAGACCTCAGACAACAGGTATATTCCATTGAATAACAATGGAGCTCACAACTGAGCTATTACTTGTCTTGAGATTTAAATGGCCCTTCATATGCCCTGATAAATGCTAATTAGACCCGGTTGTATTTGAGCAGGCATGATTGAGAGGGTTAAATTAATGTGCCGTTAAATTGATGCCCCGTTTAATATCTCAAAGAGGTTACAAAATGCACACAAATGGTCACAACGGATATTTATTGCCGTGACATGTTTCCCAAACACACACCTACAAGCATTGGGACACACCAATGACTTTATACAGTGCATTCGGAAAGTATTCAGACCCCTTAATTTTTACCACATTTTGTTACATTACAGCCTGTTTCTAAAATGGATTAAATTGGTTTTTTTCCCTCATAAATGTACACACAATACCACATAATGACAAAGCAAAAACATGTTTTTAGAAATTGAAATATCACATTTACAGAAGTATTCAGACCGTTTACTCAGTACTTTGTTGAAGCACCTTTGGCAGCTATTACAGCCTCGAGTCTTCTTGGGTATGACGCTACAAGCTTGGCACACCTGTATTTGGGGAGTTTCTCCCATTCTTCTCTGCAGATCCTCTCAAGCTCTGTCAGGTTGGATGGGGAGCGTCGCGGCACAGCTATTTTCAGGTCTATCCAGAGACGTTCGATCGGGTTCAAGTCCGGGCTCTGGCTGGGCCACTCAAGGACATTCAGAGACTTGTCCCGAAACCACTCTAGCGTTGTCTTGGCTGTGTGCTTAGGGTCGTTGTCCTGTTGGAAGGTGAACTTTCGCCCCAGTCTGAGGTCCTGAGCACTCTGGAGCAGGTTTTCATTACATTTACGTCATTTAGCAGACGCTCTTATTCAGAGCGACTTACATGAGCAATTAGGGTTAAGTGCCTTGCTCAAGGGCACATCGACAGATTTTTCACCTAGTCGGCACGGGGATTAGAACCAGCGACCTTTCGGTTACTGGCACAGCGCTCTTACCCACTAAGCTACCTGCCGCCCATCAATGATCTCTCTGTACTTTGTTCCGTTCATCTTTCCCTCGATGCTGACAAGTCTCCCAGTCCCTGCCGCTGAAAAACATCCCCACTGAATGATGCTGCCACCACCATCCTTCACCGCAGGGATGGTGCCAGGTTTCCTCCAGACGTAACGCTTGGCATTCAGGCCAAAGAGTGCAATATTGGTTTCATCAGACCAGATAATCTTGTTTCTCATGGTCTGAGAGTCCTTTAGGGGCCTTTTGGCAATCTCCAAGTGGGCTGTCATGTGCCTTTTACTGAGGAGTGGCTTCTGTCTGGCCACTCTACCATAAAGGCCTGATTGGTGGAGTGCTGCAGAGATGGTTGTCCTTCTGGAAGGTTCTCTCATCTCCACAGAGGAACTTTGGAGCTCTGTCAGAGTGACCATTGGGTTCTTGGTCACTTCCCTGACCAAGGCCCTTCTCCCTCGATTGCTCAGTTTGGCCGGGCGGCCAGCTCTAGGAATAGTCTTGGTGGGTCCAAACTTCTTCCATTTATGAATGATGGAGGCCACTGTGTTCAAGGGGACCTTTAATGCTGCAGAAATGTTTTGGTACCTTTCACCAGATCTATGCCTCGACACAATCCTGTCTCAGAGCTCTACGGACAATTCCTTCGACCTCATGGCTTGGTTTTTGCTATGACATGCACTGTCAACTGTGGGGCCTTATATAGACAGATGTGTGCCTTTCCAAATCATGTCCAATCAATTGAATTTACTACAGGTAGACTCCAATCGAGTTGTAGAAAGTATGAAGAAAAAAATATATGTATGCACTCACTAACTGTAAGTCGCTCTGGATAAGAGCGTCTGCTAAATGACTAAAATGTAAAATGTAGAAACATCTCAAGGATGATCAATGGAAACAGGATGCACCTGAGCTCAATTTTGAGTCTCATAGCAAAGGATCTGAATACTTATGTAAATAAAGTATTTCTGTTTTTATTTTTAATACATTTGGAAAAAATTCTAAGAACTTGTTTTCACTTTGTCATTATGGTATATTGTGTGTAGATTGAGGGAAAACATTTATTTAATCAATGTTAGAATAAGGCTGTAACAAAATGTGGAAAAAGGGGTCTGAATACTTTCCTATGTGAAGACTCAGTAGTGCATTGAAGCCAAGTGAAGGTAGTTAAGATGGCTTCCCATGGAGACACAGTTTGAAATGACCCTGTCCTTATAATTTCTACTGTGTGGGATTTTTAAATAATCGGTTCAAGGACATACATCTGGTGTATTAGAAGCAGATATTGGTACACATCTCCTACACAGACGCCTATAAACAGTGACACGCATCCACACACACAGACACACACATATAAATAGTCACAGTCTCACACAGACACACACACACAAACACACACACACACAAACACCTATAAACAGCTACACATCCCAACACACCTACTCACACTGTCCCTGATCGGTGTCCCTGTCTGACTTGCACTGTCTCGCAGTTACTATGGAAACATGACCTCGAGGACGTGTGAGAGGTGTGACCCGAGCTGTGGTGAGTGTTCCGGGAGCAGGGCGGATGACTGTCTGAACTGTGCAGATGGACTGCTCTACCTGAGGAAACAGGGACACTGTCACTCCAGCTGTCCCCAGGGCCACTACCAGGACAGCCAGCACCACACCTGTGAGCCCTGTCACTCCAGCTGCAGAACCTGCTCAGGTAGGGAGGACGAGAGACCTGTGTGTGTGTCTCTGTCTTAGTCTCTGTTTTTCACAGTTGGATCACATAAGATACTTTGGAACCCAGTAAATACTTGTTACCATAATCATTAAGGGGCTGTTTCCCGGACCTGGATGCAGATTAAGCCTATTCCAGGACTGAAAGGCACTTTCTATGGAGATTTTTAATTGAGCATATGTTTTAGTCCAGAATTAGACTTAATCTGGTTTGGGAAAAGTAAATCGATCTGTTTTTGGCATTAACAAGTGATTGAATATCGACCTATTCCTAAAACACAGAACAACAAGACAGATTTCCCAGCTAGCACATTTGGTTCCTTGGAAGTTGTGGGAACGTATGTTTTTGGTTTCCCATTGGTTCTGCGAACGAAGCCATACATTTTGAATGTTTTCTTGTGTTTTTTATGGAAAGTTTTCTTAATGTTCTGGGAACATCACTTTAAATAGAACCATGAGGAAACCTGCAGAAAACGTTATGCTGAAGTGCTGAAATTCCCAACAAGCTCTCACAGTCTAACGTCGGAGTAAGACGTTCATCCATGTTTCTCAAATGTCACATTTTGAAGTTGTTCCATTGTTGAAGTGTTTTAAGGTTAAGTTTAGGTATTAACTCTGAATGGTTAAGATAAGGGTTAAGGTTTGGGATAGGCTTAAAACAAAAATCTCAAAAACAACTTAGTATAGCTGGATTCGAACATTCAATCTTTGGAACCAAAGGCAGATGCTTATGTCCATCTGCCATCCCTGTCCACAATGCCCTAGCAAAACCGAAATCTACTTGAAGGTAACAGAGCTCACTAATGCCTCTAGTGGCTGGTTTCCACGTAATCTCCCGACATCTTCAGATACTGATGGACGTTGAATATTGATTTGTACCACGGGTGACCTGGCTGGAAATTCCCACAGAAGAAAGCTGTTGCTTAATAATCTCTGAACGTTCTGAGAACATGATTTTAAATAGAACCACGAGGAAACCGGTAGAAAACGTTATGCTAACGTACTGAAATTCCCACAGAGGAACGTTGTCTCTTAACGTTCTTGGAACAATTTGAGAACATTACTTTAAATAGAACCATGAGGAAACCTGTAGGAAACGTTATCCTGAAAGATTGAAATTCCCTCAGAAGAACGTTGATTCTTAACATTCTCTGAACTATTTGAGAACATTCCCAGTGTCAAACCAGTTGGAGAATGTTCTTAGATCATGACCAAAATTGAAATTAAATGCAACAATGTTTAAACTTTTAGGAAAAATTATGTTAAAGTAATGAAATACCAATAACATTTTTGTATTTGTCACGTTCCAAAGCCAATCAACTGTCCTGCACCATTCCCAGAAAGTTGTGGGAAGGTTGTATGCAAAATAACCATAGGACAATCACAAGAAACATACAGTTCTCAGAACGTTATCTGTTCGCTGGGTTGTGTCTTTAAATTGACAAACTAAATCCAGCAGGAAAGAAAAACTATGCACTGTAATGTCATGCCATCTATGGTACAGTACAAGTGCCCAACAATGTAATTGTCCTATATTTCCAGGAAAAGGATCTCAGGCGTGTGACTCGTGTCACATGGGCTACACGCTGTCAGACGGAATGTGTGAGTCCCACTGCAACATGGGTCAATACCCCATGCTACAGGTAACCACTAATACCCATTACTCACCACTACTCTATCTCTGTACTGTATAATGTACTTCATGTTAGTCACACATGTCAGGCATGACACACTCCCTGATGTCACAAATAAAGTTATATACGTCCTGATGCCAATACAGAAATGAGTGCAGTGTTAAATGATTGATTACAATAAACTTGTTTGATCGATGGTTGTTAGTGTTGTTTGTCTGGAGAGCGGTACCTGGTTACCGGGTAGAAATGTGTCCCTAGTTAAAAGGCAGGTTTGTGGCTCTCAAGGACCTGTGCTCTGCACCCTTGACTTAAACTTACCTTGTCCTTTCACATCTGCACAAGTGCATTATAGAAAGTAGCGGGGTTAGGAGTTAATTGAGGTGGGGCCTGTGTGCTGATTCCTCATGTCTTCTCTCCTTGACTCCTTCTCAAAATGCATTGGAGAAGGTCCAAGGGTAGAACCATTCTGAGAAGGCGGCAAGGAGAGAGGACACAAGGAATCAAGGATATAGAATTGAGACTCACCCCGTTTCTTTGTCAAGGAATCAAGGAAAATACTTTTGAGATTCACCCTGTTTGTGTGACAGCCTATCCCCTTGTGGTCTTCTGGCCAGGATTGTGAGGACTGTGACAGTTCCTGTCTGGACTGTATGGGACCTGGTCCATACAACTGCACCATTTGTCCTGCCCATGCCATCCTCACAGCCGGGGGGCGCTGTCTGCTCTGCTGTCAGAACGACCTGCCAGTAGAGGGAGATTCCACAGCGCAGCAGCAGGAGTGCTGCAACTGCACCGAGACAAGAGGTGGGCTCAGGGCAGACCAGAGTTCAAATACTATATGAAATCATTCAAAATACTTTAGCTGTGCTTGATTGAGCTTACCTGGTGCAAAGGAACCAATAGAATAGATGCAAAAAGTGCAAACCTCACCAATCTGGCAATCCAGCCAGGTTAAAGCAAACGCTAAAAGTATTTGACAGACTTTATTTAAACGCAGGTCTGGAATGAGTTTATAGCAACAAGCATCATGTTCATGTGTTCACCCACCCTATCACATGTTCGTTGTCTTTTTCTCCGGTCTACAGGGGAGTGCGTCCTCAGCACTAACCTGGCCTTCCGCAATGACGAAGTGGAGTCATCCGGGAACATGGCACTCTTCATCACCACCTCCATCCTACTCCTGCTGGGCCTGGGTACCGTAGTCTTCCTCATCCGACGCTCCCGCTCCAAGATCCCCTCCCTCCCCGACCCCATCACAGCCCCCCGTGGCTACGAGAAGCTGGGTGGCGGGTGGCACGGAGGCGGGCGTCATAATACCACATCCGGCGGGCACGCCAGTTCCAGCGGGCATTTCCGCGAGGCCCAGTTGGTGGATCTCACCGAGCGCCGCGGGGATAAGGATGAGGAAGATGAGGATGATGATGAGGATATTGTGTACATGGGTCAGGATGGAACGGTCTACAGGAAGTTCAGGTACGGACAGCCAGGGAATGATAATGACGATGAGCTGGAGTACGATGATGAGAGCTATACATTTCGCTGAAGAGTGATTTTTCTTTCTACAGTTCCTTTCTTTCTACCTGTCTTTCTTCCTTTTTCTCTCTGACTCTATCTTTCCCTCAGGGCTTGCGTCCCATCTTATTTGTCCTCCTTTGATATTCAGTTATAACAAGAATGAATAGCTATTTCATGCTGAGGGGTGTTTAAAACAAATGCTGTTCATTCACAAAACTGTGTATGTTATTTTTAACATTTATGGGAAATGTATATTTTATTTTGTTGTGTCTTTGGTTTATTTTGCGTGTGGCTTCAACCATGACCCCTGTAAAACAAGATCCTATTTGTCGTAAAATCAGTTTCAAAATGGTGTTACTCCTCTTTGTAATTGTGGTGGTTTTGAAGTTTAATACGGGCTCTATTCAATCTGGAACCGATGAAGCGTTACAAATTGCACTATAGAAATGTAAAGGTAATTTCCGATTGAGCCGACATATGCAGCGTTTACCGTGAATGCAGTCTCTGCTAACTCGGGAACATTGCCTTTACATTTAAATCAAGCTGTAACGCTGATAGAGTAGAGTCCTAACACTTTAAATCAGAGTTATGGTTTTGCCACTTGTCTTTGTATAATTAGTTTGCAGTCATTGACTTTTGATTAGAAAATATTTAGTGTTGTTATTCAAATAAAGTTTAATTGAATTTGAAGAAATGATTTGTGATAACACTAATAGAGACACACAAATGGGCTGAACCAAAGGGAAGAAAACAGGGAGGGACAACCTGTACTTATCTAATAATAAATGTGTTTTATTATTTATTGCAAACCATTTTAAAACGTTTTCAATTGCATGCCCTAATGAATACGACCCTGGTGTTGTGATAGAAAGGTCAATGACCTTCAAGTATGACTAACAAGCTAATAATTTTGGAAATCCATCACTGGCTATTTAATTAAAAAATGAATGCAACTGAATTTGGCAGAGATGGATAGATGTCACATGAGGAAAAGCACAGGAGCAATGCTCGGAGTAAAACTGTATTTATTGATATAGTGTTCCATCATATAACACATCTTACACACAATGTAGAAGACCCCTGGGTCAAAGAGCCATCAATAATCTATGAGGAAGCATGCATTGATACACGCACACACACACAGACACACACAGGATGCGATATTGTGCTTTACAGAGACCCTCACTTCTCTCTCTGGCCTCCTCTGAGGTCATATCCTGTTTGGTGCAGGATAAGCTGAAGAGACAAGAGCCCTAGATGGTGAATATGTAGGATGTCTGACGGAAACACATTGAGGGCACACACACAACACACACAGCACGCTCAACTCTCACAGGACAGGCATCTGAAAGGACATGCTCTCACAATGTACTGATAGGTTTTTTTCACACATTTTCACTTAGTTACACACATATAAATATAATTCATTATATTTCTGTGGTTACTCATGGCATCCACTGTACTTCAGATTGATTCAAAGTGAAAACATCTAGGGATTTATCTGTCAAACACTTTCATCAAAATCCAAATGATTTTAAGATCTAAAAAAAGATTGAGACGCGTTACTTGGTCGTTTCCTAAGGGGACTGGATTTTAGCATGCCATAGATATGTCAGATTGATTTTGACGTAGCATCATTGATGTGATATTGTCTCAAGGACATAATGACTTGTCTAAATCCCAGATGGACAATATTAGTGCTTCACTGCTTCTCATGCATTATTACCAAAGTACAACATTAAAACTTTGATGCTAAGAATGGACGTGTGTACTGCACTGTGAGTGACCACATTATAATTATGTTCTTAACAAACTATCATGGTATGTGGATTAACTGTGTCAAGTATCCTAGTAGTCTCATCCAGGGGATTATTAATACTGGTCCTGGGCAACCCACGAGTGCACATTTTTGTTCCAACCCAGCACTAACACACCTGATTAACTAATCAAGACCTTGGTGTGCTACCAGGTATGTTAGTGCTGGGAAGAAACAAAACGGTGCACCCAGTGGGTCCCAAAGACCAAGATTAAGAAACCCCACATGCTAATCTATGGTCTGTCAGAGGTGTTGTAGATGGATTTTACAGGGGTCTTATAGGATTTACGTCTGAGTGCTAACAGGGATTATGGAGTGTCTTCATAGTCGACTCCACGTCTGACAAACACACAGGAAAATACCTTACATCTGTCTTACTGCATCCAGCGTACAAAACAATCATGAGTTTTAAAACAATGTGACATTCCATTTCGAGGCAAGCATTAATTTCCACTGTTGTTGAATGCCACTTTGTCTAGGAGCTGCTCGCGTTGGTTTTATCGGCTCTGCAGAGGAAGAGAAGCCAAGGAAACAGGCATTCATGTTAGAGCATGCGTCCCACATGGCACCCTATTCCCCTTTAAAGTGCCCTACTTTTGACCAGGGCCCAGTAGTGTACTATATAGGGAATAGGGTGCCATGTGGGATGCACTGTTAGAGTGTTTATATGAAGGACAGACAAGCCAGACAAGGCCATCTCTCTTCAGACTGCACTTAAACAAGTAGCTTTAGTGGTCTTACTTACTCTGGTCTCCCTGACGTCGGCTCGGGTCCCTGGAGGAAACTGCTCACTCTGTAGAAGAAAGAAAGGAAGAGAAAGAGTAAATGTCAGACGGGAATCTGGGGTGCAGTGTTAAATATGTCATTGGCTACATTTTGTGGGGCATATTGAATCCATGGTATGTATGTGTCTTTTGTCAGGAAGGCAGAGCCAAATATGATCAAATGAATATGTTTCTCATTGGAATTCTACATCATGTTCTCAGAATTCTCTCATAATTTACCATCTGTGATATATCACCATTATTAATCATATCGTAATCTATGGTTTGTTGATGTGGCTGACAAATGCGTTTCGAGAAACATTTATCACATTTTCATATAATTACAGTATGAAAGTGGTCGGAGCAAACCCACTGTAGTGGAGTAGGCTCTCATCCAACATAAAAGCCTTTCTGATCTTAAACAGGATCATTTGATAAATGGGAGTCTGGCTAAGAGAAAACAGAAGTGGGGAGACATAGTTTCTGTTTCTGCAGCCATATAGTAATGAGGGACAAAGTCTATGCTTACGTTGAGCTCACCGCCGCTTCCTTCAGCTCCTCGTCAAGACTAGGGATGAGAGTTGACAACAGAAGATAAATAGAGAGTCAGTTACAGGTCAGAGGAGAGGAGGGGAAATGGAATGAGGAGAGGAGAGGAGAGGAGAGGAGAGGAGAGGAGAGGAGGATGAAAGGAAAATAAAAGGAAGGAGTGGGGGATGTGTGGACTGGGCTCACCTAATGATGCACTCTGGGATGTGGACGTGTTCCATGGGGATGAGTTCCTGCAGCTCAGCCAGGCTGTTCACATACTTTATCTTATTGCTGAACTTGGTGCTGTGACAAAACACACATACAGTGCTGTGAAAAAAAAGTATTTTCCCCCTTTCTAATTTTCTCTACTTTTGCATGTTTTTGATACTGGATGATATCAGATCTTCAACCAAAACCTAATATTCGATAAAGGGAACCTGAGTGAACAAATAACACAACAGTTACATACTTATTTCATTTATTTCATTATCAAAGTTATGCAATGTCCCTGTGTGAAAAAGTAATTGTCCCCTTACACTCTGACTGGTTGTGCCACTTTAAGCTGCAATGACTCCAACCAAACGCTTCCTGTAGTTGTTGATCAGTCTCTCACGTCGCTGTGGAGGACGTTTGGCCCACTCTTCCATGCAGAACTGCTTTAACTCAGCAACATTTGTGGGTTTTCAAGCACGAACTGCTCGTTTCAAGTCCTAACACAACATCTCAATTGGGATTAGGTCTGGACTTTGACTAGGCCGTTCCAGAACTTCAAATGTGTTGCTTTCTAGACATTTTCATGTAGACTTGATTGTGTGTTTTGGATCATTGTCTTGCTGCATGACCCAGCTACGCTTCAGCTTCAGCTCACAGACGGATGGCCTGACATTCTCCTGTAGAATTATCTGATCTATTAAGGCAAGTCGTCCAGGTCCTGAGGCAGCAAAGCATCCCCAAACCATCACCCTACCACCACCATGCTTGACCGTTGGTATAAGGTTCTTACTGTGGAATGCAGTGTTTGGTTTCCACCAGGCATAATGGGACCTATGTCATAATGGGACCCAGGCCATCTGTCTGTGATCTGAAGCTGAACCACAGCTGGGTCATGCAGCAAGACAATGATCCAAAACACACAATCAAGTCTACATGAAAATGGCTAGAAAGCAACAAATTAGAAGTTTTGGAATGGCCTCGTCAAAGTCCAGACCTAATCCCAATTGAGATGTTGAGGCAGGACTTGAAACGAGCAGTTCGTGCTTGAAAACCCACAAATGTTGCTGAGTTAAAGCAGTTCTGCATGCAAGAGTGGGACAAAATTCCTCCACAGCGATGTGAGAGACTGATCAACAACTACAGGAAGCATTTGGTTGCAGTCATTGCAGCTAAAGGTGGCACAACCAGTTATTGAGTGTAAGAGGGCTATTACTTTTTCACACAGGGGAATTGGGTGTTGCATAACTTTGTTAATGAAATACATTTTTAAAAGTATCTTTATTTTATTTGTATACTCAGGTTCCATTTATCTAATATTAGGTTTTGGTTGAAGATCTGATAACATTGAGTATCAAAAATAGAGAAAATCTGAAAGGGGGCAAATACTTTTTCACAGCACTGTACACACATATCTAAGTGGACATGCACACACATACTAACTTTATCTTGCAGCTTAAATTACGGCCATGCATGCTACATTTCAATCCATGTGTAATGAAATACACTCCAAGATTTCTTTACTTAGAACACAGTAATTAATGTGTGTGTTTACCTGATGAAGGGCCTAGTGATGGCTAGGATGGTCCGTATAAACCAGGACGGGTGGACGATGATGAAGGATTTTAAATTCTTCCTGAGCCTGAAACCAAACATTCATCAACATTTTCATAATGAGTATGTTTGTGTGATGTGGCATGATACAATGTTATTACAGTTGACCACATTGGAAATATTGGGAGGTATTGTAGTTTGGTATTATAGGTAGCTTACTCAGGTAGTTATTGAAGGTTATTGTAGGTAATTATTGTAGGTAAGTATTGTATTCGGCAGAACCCGGCGAAGCACGAGGCTAGCTTACCCACTACTTGGACCAACAAAGCTAGCTAGCTAGCTAGCGGGTAGCTACTGGTAACTTTTTGCAACTGTGGTTAATTGTTTCCAATGTTATTTCATGCTTAAGAGTACCTGTGATTGAGCCAGCTAGCTGCTACCATTCAGCTGTTTTTCTAACCTCATCCGAGGCATTAACGTTAGGTGGTTGGTAGCTGCTGTACTTAATTACAGCTACTGATAACAGTCTGCTGTAGTTTACAACAATTCTAATTTCTAAAGTGGAAGTTGGGAGAGTTTTACTCGGGTGGTTCAGTGAAACAATTATAGTTTCTGAGGTGGAAGTTGGGAGAGTTATATATATATTTTTTTTTTTGGTGAGGGAGGCCTGCTCTCTCCTTTCCCAGATGTTTAGTTCATTTCATTCCGATCTCCTCTGCATTATTGTAGCCATCTGCTGCAGCCTGTCAACTATGCCTCTGCCTATCCCTGTTCTCTCCTCTCCGCACAGGCTACACAAACGCCTCACACCGCGTGGCTGCTGCCTCTCTAACCTGGTGGTCCCTGCACGCACCACACACCTGGAGTTCCAGGTCTCAGGCAGCCTCTGGAACTGCCGTTCTGCCGCCAACAAGGCTGACTTCATCCCAGCCTATGCTACCCTCCAGTCCCTCGACTTCCTGGCGCTGACGGAAACATGGATTACCACTGAAAACACTGCTACTCCTACTGCTCTCTCCTCATCTGACCATGTGTTCTCGCATACCCCGAGAGCATCTGGTCAGAGGGGTGGTGGCACAGGAATCCTCATCTCTCCCAAGTGGTCATTCTCAATTTTTCCCCTAACCCATCTGTCTATCTCCTCATTTGAATTCCACGCTGTCACAGTCACTAGCCCATTTAAGCTTAATATCCTTGTCATCTATCGCCCTCCAGGTTCCCTTGGAGAGTTCATCAATGAGCTTGACAAGTTCCTTTCCTGAGGATGGCTCACCCTTCACAGTTTTGGGGGATTTCAACCTCCCTACGTCTACATTTGACTCATTTCTCTCTGCCTCCTTCTTTCCACTCCTCTCCTCTTTTGACCTCACCCTCTCACCACCCCCCCCCACTCACAAGGCAGGCAATACGCTTGACTTCATCTTTACTAGATGTTGCTCTTCTACTAATCTCACTGCAACTCCCCTCCATGTCTACGACCACTACTTTGTATCCTTTTCTCTCTCGCTCTCCTCCAACACTACTCACTCTGCCCCTACACAGATGGTAACGCGCCGCCGCAACCTTCGCTCTCGCTCTCCCACTACTCTCTCCTCTTCCATCCTATCATCTCTTCCCTCTGCTCAATCCTTCTCCCTCCAATCTCCTGATTCTACCTCCTCAACCCTCCTCTCCTCCCTTTCTGCATCCTTTGACTCCCTGTGTCCCCTATCCTCCCGGGCCGGCTCGGTCCTCCCCTCCAGCTCCGTGGCTTGATGACTCATTGCGAGCTCACAGAACAGAGCTCCGGGCAGCTGAGCGGAAATGGAAGAAAACTAAACTCCCTGCCGACCTGGCATCTTTTCACTCCCTCCTCTCTACATTTTCTTCATCTGTTTCTGCTGCTAAGGCCACTTTCTACCACTCTAAATTCCAAGCATCTGCCTCTGACCCTAGGAAGCTCTTTGCCACATTCTCCTCACTGCTGAATCCTCCCCCCCTCCTCCCTCTCTGTGGATGACTTTGTCAACCACTTTGAAAAGAAGGTTGACGACATCCGATCCTCGTTTGTTAAGTCTAATGACACTGCTGGTCCTGCTCACACTGCCCTACCCTATGCTTTGACTTCTTTCTCCCCTCTCTCTCCAGATAAAATCTTGCGACTAGTGACTGCAGGCCGCCCAACAACCTGCCCGCTTGACCCCATCCCCTCCTCTCTTCTCCAGACCATCTCCGGTGACCTTCTCCCCTACCTCACCTCGCTGATCAACTCATCCTTGACCGCTGGCCATGTCCCTTCCGTCTTCAAGAGAGCGAGAGTTGCACCCCTTCTCAAAAAACCAACACTCGATCCCACTGATGTCAACAACTACAGACCAGTATCCCTTCTTTCTTTTCTTTCCAAAACTATTGAGCGTGCCGTCTTTAGCCAACTCTCTTGCTATCTCTCTCAGAATGACCTTCTTGATCCAAACCAGTCAGGTTTCAGGACTGGTCATTCAACTGAGACTGCTCTTCTCTGTGTCACGGAGGCTCTCCGCACTGCTAAAGCTAACTCTCTCTCCTCTGCTCTTGTCCTTCTAGACCTGTCTGCTGCCTTTGATACAGTGAACCATCAGATCCTCCTCTCCACCCTCTCCGAGCTGGGCATCTCCGGCGCGGCTCACTCCTGGATTGCGTCCTACCTGACCGGTCGCTCCTACCAAGTGGCGTGGCAAGAAGCTGTCTCCGCACCACGTGCTCTCACCACTGGTGTCCCCCAGGGCTCAGTTCTAGGCCCTCTCCTTTTCTCCCTATACACCAAGTCACTTGGCTCTGTCATATCCTCACATGGCCTCTCCTATCATTGCTACGCTGACGATACACAACTAATCTTCTCCTTTCCCCCTTCTGATAACCAGGTGGCGAATCGCATCTCTGCATGTCTGGCCGACATATCAGTATGGATGACGGATCACCACCTCAAGCTGAACCCTGGCAAGACGGAGCTGCTCTTCCTCCCGGGGAAGGACTGCCCGTTCCATGATCTCGCCATCACGGTTGACAACTCCGTTGTGTCCTCCTCCCAGACTGCGAAGAGCCTTGGCGTGACCCTGGACAACACCCTGTCGTTCTCCGCTAACATCAAGGCGGTGACCCGATCCTGCAGGTTCATGCTCTACAACATTCGGAGAGTACGACCCTGCCTTACACAGGAAGCGGCACAGGTCCTAATCCAGGCACTTGTCATCTCCCGTCTGGATTACTGCAACTCGCTGTTGGCTGGGCTCCCTGCCTGTGCCATTAAACCCCTACAACTCATCCAGAATGCCGCAGCCCGTCTGGTGTTCAACCTTCCCAAGTTCTCTCACGTCACCCCCCTCCTCCGCACACTCCACTGGCTTCCAGTTGAAGCTCGCATCCGTTACAAGACCATGGTGCTTGCCTATGGAGCAGTGAGGGGAACGGCACCTCCGTACCTTCAGGCTCTGATCAGTCCCTACACCCAAACGAGGGCATTGCGTTCATCCACCTCTGGCCTGCTGGCTCCCCTTCCTCTGCGGAAGCATAGTTCCCGCTCAGCCCAGTCAAAACTGTTCGCTGCTCTGGCACCCCAATGGTGGAACAAGCTCCCTCACGACGCCAGGACAGCGGAGTCACTCACCACCTTCCGGAGACATTTGAAACCCCACCTCTTTAAGGAACACCTGGGATAGGATAAAGTAATCCTTCTACCCCCCCCCCCCCCCCCAAAAAAAAGTAAAAAAGAAAAAATAGAAAGAAAAAAAAGAAAAGAAAAAAAAAGTATAATTGTAAAGTGGTTATCCCACTGGCTATAGGGTGAATGCACCAATTTGTAGTCGCTCTGGATAAGAGCGTCCGCTAAATGACGTAAATGTGCCCTTGAGCAAGGCACTTAACCCTAATTGCTCCTGTAAGTCGCTCTGGATAAGAGCGTCTGCTAAATGACTAAAATGTAAAATGTAAAATGTAAATAAGTATACGTAAATCCTTTTACATTTTATCCTGTGGGCCTTACACTTTTTCATACTAAAAAATATAATGAATACATCCATCCACTCATCCATAAATCAACCATATGTCAAATGACCTCCTGTCAATCATCTGGTAGCACTTCTTGAGCCAGCCTAGTCCAGGCATCCTCCTGTGGGGTGTGGCTCCGTTCAGGTAGATGATCATATAGTCCTCCGCCACCATCAGCTCCAACGTGCTGATCACATACCTGAATGCAGGACATACAGTAGGGGAGGTACACATCAATCATTAACCTAGAGTACGATTTAAAACATGTTCAGGTAAAGGTAAAGAGCAGAGCATACTGGTGAATGATTGCGCTACATGGGTTAGATTAGAACATTATTGCCATTTAACCCTGTGAGACCCAGGCATAGATCCAAATGAGGAAAAACGTATTACCCTTCAGAAATATTTGTAATAGGCCTCTGATTATGAAAATAATCTGTTTTGTATTTATTTAACATTTTCTGGAACGTTGCAAAAATGCAACATTGGGCTTCAATGGTAGGATAAATGTGTGGTAAGAAAACTGTGAAATTCCATTAAAATCACATCAAAATTGATCAAAAGCATTTATATTGTCTAATGGTATAAAAATCTGAGATCCTATTTTGTCTGAAATAGCCAAATTGATCATCTCGACCGATCCAAATGTTTCTATTTTGTTATCAAGAACATCTTTTTGAAAGGATCAACTATGTTGTGGGTTTTCTATGTATGGAGAACATCTAATTTACTTTTAGTAATATTTGGTTGTCCTTTCTGGCTTAATTACGAGAGCTATCTTACTTCTTTACCATAAAATAAATGGTCATCAATGGCAGTATTCTCATAAACTACACATACATTTAAAAAAATATATATTTCTGTTCTTGTGTAGAGGGGATATCAAAGTTAGTATTGAAGTATTTGGTTGTCCATATTTGCAGAATTTGGAAGGAAAACAATCTCTCTAACTTGTCTATCAATACAGTGCATTCGGAAAGTATTCAGACCCCTTTACTTTTTCCACATTTTGTTACGTTACAGCCTTATTCCAAAATGGATTAAATACAATTATTTCCTCATCAATCTACACACAATACCCCGTAATGACAAAGTGAAAACAGGTTTTAGATGTTGAAATACCTTATTTACATAAGTATTCAGACCATTTTCTATGAGACTCAACATTTAGCTCAGCTGCATCCTGTTTCTATTGATCATCCTTGAGATGTTTCTACAACTTGATTGGAGTCCACCTGTGGTAAATTCAATTGATTGGACAGGATTTGGAAAAGCACACACATTAAGGTCCCACAGTTGACAGTGAATGTCAGAGCAAAAACCAAGCCATGAGGTCGACGGAATTGTCCTAGAGCTCCGAGACAGGATTGTGTCGAGGCACAGATCTGGGGAAGGGTACCAAAACATTTCTGCAGCATTGAAGGTCCCCAAGAACACAGTGGCCTCCATCATTCTTAAATGGAAGAAGTTTGGAACCACAAAGACTCTTCCTAGAGCTGGCCGCCCGGCCAAACTGAGCAATCGGGGGAGAAGGGCCTTGGTCAGGGTGGTGACCAAGAACCTGATGGTCACTCTGACAGAGCTCCAGAGTTCCTCTGTGGAGATGGGAGAACCTTCCAGAAGGACAACCATCTCTGCAGCACTCCACCAATCAGGCCTTTATGGTAGAGAGGCCAGACGGAAGCCACTCCTCAGTAAAAGGCACGACAGCCCGCTTGGAGATTGCCAAAAGGCCCCTAAAGAACTCTCAGACCATGAGAAATAAGATTCTCTGGTCTGATGAAACCAAGATTGAACTCTTTGGCCTGAATGACAAGCATCACATCTGGAGGACACCTGGCACCATCCCTACGGTGAAGCATGGTGGTGGCAGCATCATGCAGTGGGGATGTTTTTCAGCGGCAGGGACTGGGAGACTAGTCAGGATCGAGGGAAAGATGAATTGAGAAAAGAACAGAGAGATCCTTGATGAAAACCTGCTCCAGAGCATTCAGGACCTCAGACTGGGGCGAAGGTTCACCTTCTAACAGGACAACGACCCTAAGCACACAGCCAAGACAATGCAGGAGTGGCTTCGGGACAAGTCTCTGAATGTCCTTGAGTGGCCCAGCCAAAGCCCAGACTTGAACCCGATCTAACATCTCTGAAGAGACCTGAAAATAGCTGTGCAGCTACGCTCCCAATCCAACCTGACAGAGCTTGAGAGGATCTGCAGAGAAGAATGGGAGAAACTCCCCAAATACAGGTGTGCCAAGCTTGTAGTGTCATACCCAAGAAGACTCTAGACTGTAACCACTGCCAAAGGTGCTTCAACAAAGTACTGAGTAAAGGGTCTAAATACATATGTGACTCGTTTCAGGAAACTAGGGGTATGTCACACGTCACTACTTCACAGGAGAGCCATTTGAACGTAAACTTTTTTTTTTTTTTTCACCTTTATTTAACCAGGTAAACCAGTTGAGAACAAGTTCTCATTTACAACTGCGACCTGGCCAAGATAAAGCAAAGCAGTGCGATAAAAACAACAACACAGAGTTACATATGGGGTAAAACAAAACAAAGTCAAAAATACAACAGAAATACATATATATATACAGTGTGTGCAAATTTAGCAAGTTATGGAGGTAAGGCAATAAATAGGCTATAGTGCAAAATAATTACAATTAGTATTAACACTGGAATGATAGATGTGCAAGAGATGATGTGCAAATAGAGATACTGGGGTACAAATGAGCAAAATAAATAACAATATAGGGATGAGGTAGTTGGGCGGGCTAATTTCAGATGGGCTGTGTACAGGTGCAGTGATCGGTAAGGTGCTCTGACAACTGATGCTTAAAGTTAGTGAGGGAGATAAGTGTCTCCAGCTTCAGAGATTTTTGCAATTTGTTCCAGTCATTGGCAGCAGAGAACTGGAAGGAATGGCGGCCAAAGGAGGTGTTGGCTTTGGGGATGACCAGTGAGATATACCTGCTGGAGCGCAGACTACGGGTGGGTGTTGCTATGGTGACCAATGAGCTAAGATAAGGCGGGGATTTGCCTAGCAGTTATTTATAGATGGCCTGGAGCCAGTGGGTTTGGCGACGAATATGTAGTGAGGACCAGCCAACAAGAGCGTACAGGTCACAGTGGTGGGTAGTATATGGGGCTTTGGAGACAAAACGGATGGCACTGTGATAGACATTGATACATCCAATTTGCTGAGTAGAGTGTTGGAGGCTATTTTGTAAATGACATCGCCGAAGTCAAGGATCGGTAGGATAGTCAGTTTTACGAGGGCATGTTTGGCAGCATGAGTGAAGGAGGCTTTGTTGCGAAATAGGAAACCGATTCTAGATTTAACTTTGGATTGGAGATTCTTAATGTGAGTCTGGAAGGAGAGTTTACAGTCTAACCAGACACCTAGATATTTGTAGTTGTCCACATACTCTAGGTCAGACCCGTCGAGAGTAGTGATTCTAGTCGAGTGGGCGGGTGCAAGCAGCGTTCAGTTGAAGAGCATGCATTTAGTTTTACTAGTGTTTTTAAGAGCAGTTGGAGGCTACTGAAGGAGTGTTGTATGGCATTGAAGCTCGTTTGGAGGTTTGTTAACATAGTGTCCAATGAAGGGCCAGATGTATACAAAATGGTGTCGTCTGCGTAGAGGTGGATCTGAGAGTCACCAGCAGCAAGAGCGACGTCATTGATATACACAGAGAAAAGAGTCGGCCCAAGAATTGAACCCTGTGGCACCCCCATAGAGACTGCCATAGGTCCAGACAACAGGCCCTCCGATTTGACACATTGAACTCTATCTGAGAAGTAGTTGGTGAACCAGGCGAGGCAGTCATTTGAGAAACCAAGGCTATTTAGTCTGCCAATAAGAATGCGGTGGTTGACAGAGTCGAAAGCCTTGGCCAGGTCAATGAAAACGGCTGCACAGTAAAATGTGTTTTTTGACAGAAATGCCTTCTGGAACATGTGTACTTTCATGTGCCTTAATAACAAACTTGTATGCCATCTGTAAATACGAATACAATTGTTAAATTATGAGCCTAGTTGGTTTAGCCACAGAAAAAGACAGCAACCTTCCCGCTAGCCATATTTGGTTGAGATAATGAATGGGCTGGAAATCCTGAGAGATGAGTTCGGATTGGTCTGCCATGTAGCACGCTTCTGTCTATTTGAGCTGGTCAGTATGTGTAGGTAATCCTTTCTAACGCGGCTTTAAAAATATATATATCACGTAGTAGAACTGCATAAGTGTTGCTCTCCACTTTCTGGAGGACCGAGTTTTGAAATCAGTGGAATTAGAGTATGATAGCTAAGGGGATGGAGAAAAAACCTGTCTCCGGGTTACATCTACAAACTAAGGCCAACCATGGTATCCGTGACAGAGAGGGAGAAGCGTCCATCCATGTATACAGGTAAGATAGTCTAGCTAGCTTACTTTTTGTCAAAGTCGTTTTCATTTCAAGCTAAAGTGTACTGTTAGCTAGCTAGCTAACGTTAGCTAGCTGGCTCGCTAGCTAACGTTATGTGTATGATCTGTTTAGTAATATTATTTGTATCTCAGAGCCATTTGCTTTGCTAGTTATAGCCTAATGTTAGCTAGCTAACATTGAACCTGGTTGGTTAGCTACCTGAAGATTCATGCAGGGTAGTAACGTCATGAGTTGGGATAATGGTTCATTGTTTAGCTAGCTAGCTACGTCTCAACAAAAGACTCCACTAAGTAACCATTTCAATAGAATGTTCATGATGTCACTGCGACAACTTTTGATAGACGTAGCTGGTAAATTCGTTCTGGCTATCTACTCCGATTTCAGAGCACTCTCGTCTGAGTGTGCCAGAGCGCAGAATAACTGACGAATTTACGAACGCTCAACACCTGTTGAATATGGCCGGTGTCAGTAAACGTTGCCAAAAAAGTGTAATTAAATTGTTGCCAGCGGCACAGTTGCAGTCACCAACGCTCTGGATAACATAAAAACAGCCTAACCAGCTCTGCTAGGGCAAGTGGAGCGGCAGGTAGCTTAGTGGTTAAGAGCGTTGTGCCAGTAACCGAAAGGTCGCTGGTTCTAATCCCCGAGCCAACTAGGTGAAAAATCTGTCGATGTGCCCATGAGCAAGGCACTTAACCCTAATTGCTCATGTAAGTCGCTCTGGATAAGAGTGTCTGCTAAATGACTTTAAAAAAACTTTTAAATGGTCAGAGTGAGCTGTTCTCTCATTTGCGTCTGGAAGTAGCTAGTAAACTAGCCAACATTAGCCAGTTAGCTTGACTGCTGCTGTTAGGACAGAATGCTCTGATCAACCCTACTCCTCGGCCAGAGCGTTCAGTGTGCGCTCTGACCGCTCCAAGAGTGAAACGCTCTGAATTGACAAACAGACAATCTGACAACTCTGAGTTTATGAATGCCCATAGCACACTCTGGCACTCCAGATAAAATTTACGAACACACACGTAGAATAAACCAGCCTTTAGTCTTGAAATCTTTGGTTGTTTAGTACATGGCCTCATGCGTATCCTTAAAGAGATGGGTGGGGCTAAAGCTTAAGAGGGTGTGAACCATGCTGAAAGGGTGTAGACAAAGAAGAGCTCTCCAGTATGTGTACCAAAACATTCAAAGGCCATTTTCTCAAAAGTTTATCAACTTTCAAAGCAGAATTACTTCCCCATTGTTCCTCAACTGTAGTGTATGATATAAACAATTTTCTAGCTCTGTCTCTACTTTTATCCCAATGTAAAAAAAACTACATTTCAAATGTTGCTACATAACACCAAATCGAACCGGTCAGTCACATATGTAAATGTGTTATTTCCGGTTTTTATTTGTAATACATTTGCAAAAAATTATAAAAACTTGTTTTTGCTTTGTCATTATGGGGTATTGTGTGTAGATTGGGGAAAATAACTATTTAATCAATTTTAGAATAAGGCTGTAACGTAACAAAATGTGGAAAAAGTCTGAATACTTTCCAAATGCATTGTATATGAATGTGGGCCAATGTCTCAATTTGGCAACCCTTTAAGCCCAATGTTGTGCTTCTGCAACACTTACAAAACTACCTCTAGCTCAATTCCTTTTTTCTACATAATCACTACATTTTAGAGAAGACAGGAAAAAAAAGTCATGTACTTGCATGGATGGCTTACACCATATGCTTGTGTAGGGTACCAGTGTGGTCTCAGACAAGTGGACAGCTTTCTAATGTTTCAGAAGCTACTGCTCAAATCAAATCAAATGTTATTTGTCACATGCAACGGCTGTAGACTTAAACGTGAAATGCTTGCTTATGAGCCCTTCCCAACGATGCAGAGTTAAAAAGTTATAATAAAAATAGAAATAGTAACACAAGAGGAATAAAATACACAAGAATGGAGCTATATACAGGGAGTACCAGTACCAGATCAATATGCAGAGGTATGAGGTATTTGAGGTAGATATGTACATGAAGGCAGGGTAAAGTGACTAGGCATCAGGATAGATAATAATAAGAGTAAAATAAAGAACAGAGTAGCAGCAGCATATGATGAGTGTAAAAGTGTGTTTGTGTGTGTTGTCTGTATGCGTGTGTGTGTGTGTGTTATGCGTGTGTTATGTGTGTGTGTGTATGTGTGTGTGTATATAGAGTATGTGAATGTGTGTGGGCTTTGTGTGAGAGTGTCAGTGTAGTGTGAGTATGTATATAGTGTTTATACAGTCTTTGTGAGTGTGCATAGAGTCAGTGCAGATAGTCCGGGTTACCATTAATTAACTAATTAGCCTGTTGGTCCGAGAGCCGATGCTCCGGTACCATTTGTCGGGCGTTAGCAGAGTGAACAGTCTATGGCTTGGGTGGCTGGAGTCTTTGGCAATTTTTTGGGCCTTCCTCTGATGCCACAATAATCATACCAACACATAACAAATACTACTAAGAGATACATCTGGGTCTAAGAAGATGCACTATGTAGTGATTGACATTATGTTTTAGTTTAGGACCTGTACAGGTAGCAGTTTAGGAAACGTTGCATTTATACAACGATGGATCTCACAGGGTTATTGGAAATACAGACTAAAACTATAAAATGCAATCAGTATATCCTCTAAGATATTTTCAACATAAGGTGTATTTGTCAGGTGTAAGGTGTAGGGTTCAGACCAGGAAATAGATTCAAGTCAGTAGCTCTGAGGACGAGGAGGATTCTAGGTGTAACTCACAGGAAGAGATGCTCCATGATTTCATGGTAGTCCTCACTGTCGCTGTCAGGGAGGAAACACGCCGCAAACACTATGATGGCGTTCACTCCATTTCCATAGTACCCTGATGAAGGAAAAACAACACTTGTAAAGAAATATTCAGATATGATCCACACCACAACAGTTTATAAGAGTGCCCTGTCGAGAGGCTTGGTGGTGGGGTACGGTGTTTTGCTGTTTCTTTCTCAGTTTTTTTGGTTTTTCTCTCTGTCATCTGCCATCAGTATGTCACTATGTCTGATTAGCCCTTTAAATCTTTATTTTTTATCCTGTAATTAAACCCCATTAGGTTCTATGGGATGAAAATCTATTTTGTATGGGAGACCCCATCAAGTGAAAGGAGGCAAAAGAGAGGTATATAAAATAAAACAAGGTATAAAAACACAGAACAATGACCAGAACTTTCCTGTACCTCCATGGGAGATAACTCTCTGGTAGGGCTCAATGATCTTCATGTTAATGCGGTGTTCCTGCTCTCCGATGACCACGGCCCTCCACAGCTTCCCATCCTGACGCTCCTCCTCCGCGCTGCATGTGGGCTCGCATGGCTCCTTCTCCGTGGTACGATTGACTGTTGGGGGTTCTGGTTTGGGCAAAAGGCAGAAACAAAGCTATTAGAAAAAACAGACGCACTATAAATCGATTTATAATCTACACAACAAAAATGTGATTACAGAGAAATTTAGGTAATATTTTCATTGAACTTCCAGCTTCCAAGTGGCGTAATATCTAATTGAGTGTATTAGTCTGTGTTTGAAATGGCCCTACTGTATAGTGCACTAAAGGGTTCCATTTGGGACGTACTCCTAGACCAGGGGTACTCAAGTACTATTGGGAACGTCCGGTAACACAAATGTCCTATGTGGCAAAGGTCTAGATGGATTTGGTCATTTATCGGCGTAGTAACAAACCTCCACCAACCAATGCGACCCCAAACTGTTCACACCCCTCTTGTTGGCGGAGAGAAAATTGTAAAATTTTAAAGCTAATTTCCCAGTATTCTACACATTTTGCATGGAACAGATACATTTTTTCTGTTTAAAGCTAATTTCCTGCAATTCTACACGTTTCTATGTCATATGTGTGTTAATATGATACTAGGGGTCGAAGCCCAACCGAGTAAAAAATCAAATAAAAAAATGTGGGTAGTCGGGACCCGCGGTCCGTATTGACCCCGTTCTGGGTTTGGATCTGAACCGCGGTCCGCCAGTTGAGTATGGAGGTCCTAGACTGACTAACCCTCCCAGTCCAGCTCATTGTCGGTGTAATCCAGATAGTCTGCATCGTCGGGCGTGTCCAGGTCGTCCACGTTAATGTCCAGGTCGTCGGGCGTCTCTAGGGCGTCATCCTCGCTCTGGTCCAATGAGAGGCTGATACACGGGGCGGAGAGCTTCTTCCTTTGGGACGGGCCACCTGGCGCGCCCTGCAGGGGCAGCGAATTGGGAGGGGCTAGAGGGAGGGAAGTGGAGGAGTCAGTGGAAATGTTAGAAGGCTCCATATATCTCTCTTTTTCTCTCTTTGTCTCTTGTGTGTAGGGTTATTGCATTTTGTCTAGTTGTCCTCTTAAATGCACCAACCTGTGCTAAAGATTAAAAACATTTGGACCTTAACATGATATAGCTGTAAGTAGCTTATAAATGTGTACGTATTATGAATGAGTTAACGCCTGTATGAGTAACTAACCTCATCATGGTGCTGCATGTGAATGTGAGAGTGTGTCTAATTAACTGACAGCTTAGTTCTGCAGGCAGCCACAGAGTAATGATGGCATAACAACCTTTCATCCCATATAGAGCTGCCGGTGTTACTGAGGCTCACCTGGTCTGCCCTCGGCCCCCTCAGAGCTCATCTTACTGTGAGACTCCAGGTCCATCCCTTCATCACCCAGGGGGACCTTAAGACAATACACAAGAGACACTGAATACAGACCAATTAACAGAGGAGAGGCAAGTGTGTGTGTGTGCGCGTGCGTGCGCGTACGTGTGCTTGCATGTGCCTGCGGTTCGCACCACAAGGAGTGAATAGAAATGTAACTTTGACAGGTTACGTAGACACAATCCCCCTACTGTGGTCCTTCAACCTCTACATTGCTGTGGAGAATCATCATCCATCATCCACAATAGTCCCTATACTAGGACTTGATCCGGCGTACCAGTGAGAGCCTGACTGTGTTTTGTGTAGGTCTGTTTATGCACACATACAATGAGTGAACTCAGTTGGCAGTACTGTACACACAGTCACACACAAGCCATTTCCTACAGGCACACTGTCTTAAAAGACTGTGTCTCTATCATTGCTGCCGGGAGGATTTCAATGACCACAGCAGAGGGGGAGAGAGGGAGGGCAGTGGGAAGAGTGTTGAGGGTAAAGGTCATCACATCTCTCCTCCTCCGCTGTGAATAATCCATCTATTCTAGCAGGAGGCGGAGAGATGGATGGGGAGGGAGGAGGGTAAGGCTGTTACATCATCAGCAGCCAATTCTTCTCCCTCTCTCCTCTCCTCCGTCTCTTCTCTGCTGATTCAAATGTCCACACGGCAAATGAGCACAGATTGGGCACAGATGTAAATAAACCAACCGTCAAGTGCACTCACGCACATTAAAATGATCCTGGTTTCTTTTTCAGATGGGAGAAGACAAATCTGATTGCATTAGCAAATGCGACAAAAATAAAAACGCTGATTAGAATAGCTGATTTCTGAACAGCAATGATGAATTACATAAGCTACTGCTGATGCTGAACCACACACACAGACACAAACACACACGCGTGTGCATGCATACGATAGGTATAACAAAATCAGCATCAGCTGCTTTGCTCCATGGAGGATGCTGAGCCACCTAATACAGTGCAACACAGGACCACAGTGCTGATGACAGCAGCCCCTCCCTCTCTTCTCTCTTCCTGTCTCTAGAAAATAAATACGTCTCTCTCTTCTCCTTTTTCTTTATTTTGCATCACATTAAATCCATCTACTCACCACTACTGGGGCACAGGAATCTCTGTCCTTCTCTGTCTCAGAGCATGGATGTATTTCAGCTGTATCTCACTCTTTTTCCCTCTCTTCCTCCCAGGCTCTTGGTAGAGATGCTCAGCTTACAAAAAGCTCACAGCTTCCACCATTTTGTCGTCACATGACCCAGGCTAGCACCAAATAAGGCCAATCACCTGCTTCTACAGCTCTGCGCAGCAGCTGGCTCTGCTAGTTCAGCTGTGTGTGTGTGTGTGTGTTATTATTAGAGGCCAGCTGAGAGATGTGTAAGATTTGGATTGCTGAAAGAGGTTTTATTATCCCTCAGGGCTAAAAGAAAAACAATGAGTTGAAAGGAAGCTGACGAATACAGTAGAATTACAATGAATTCTTGCCAGCACTATTTATAAGACATTCAATATACAGTGCATTCCGAAAGTATTCAGACCCCTTAACTTTTTCAACATTTTGTTATGTTACAGCCTTATTCTAAAATGGATTACATCGGTTTTTTTCCCTCATCAATCTACACACAATGCCCCATAATGACAAAGCAAAAACAGGTTTTAAAAAATGTTTGCAAAACCCTTTACTCAGTACATTAATGAAGCACGTTTGGCAGCGATTACAGCCTCAAGTCTTCTTGGGTATGACGCTACAAGCTTGGCACACCTGTATTTGGGGAGTTTCTCCCATTCTTCTCTGCAGATCCTCTCAAGCTCTGTCTGGTTGGATGGGGAGTGTCGCTGCACAGCTATTTTCAGGTCTCTCCAGAGATGTTAGATCGGGTTCAAGTCTGGGATCTGGCTGGGCCACTCAAGGACATTCAGAGACCTGTCCTGAAGCCACTCCTGCGTTGTCTTGGCTGTGTGCTTAGGGTCGTTGTCCTGTAGGAAGGTGAACCTTCGTCCCCAGTCTGAGGTCCTGAGCACTCTGGAGCAGGTTTTCATCAAGGATCTCTCTGTACTTTGCTCCGTTCATCTTTCCCCCGATCCTGACTAGTCTCCCAGTCCCTACCGCTGAAAAACATCCCCACTGCATGACGCTGCCACCACCGTGCTTCACCTTAGGGATGGTGGCAGGTTTCCTCCAGACGTGACCAAAGAGTTCAATCTTGGTTTCATCAGACCAGAGAATCTTGTTTCTCATGGTCTGAGAGTCCTTTAGGTGCCTTTTGGCAAACTCTTCCGTCAGTCCACTCTACCGTAAAGGACTCTACCGTAAAGGCTTGATTGCTGAGTGGTGGAGCGCTGCAGAGATGGTTGTCCTTCTGGAAGGTTCTCTCATCTCCACAGAGGAACTCTGGAGCTCTGTCAGAGTGACCATTGGGTTCTTGGTCACCTCAATGACCAAGGCCCTTCTCCCCCAATTGTTCAGTTTGGCCGGGCGGCCAGCTCTAGGAAGAGTCTTGGTGGATCCAAACTTCTTCCATTTAAGAATGATGGAGGCCACTGTGTTCTTGGGGACCTTCAATGCTGCAGAAATGTTTTGGTACCTTTCCCCAGATCTGTGCCTCGACACAATCCTGTCTCGGAGCTCTAGAACAATTCCTTCGACCTCATGGCTTGGTTTTTGCTCTGACATGCAATGTCAACTGTAAACAGGTGTGTGCCTTTCCAAATCATGTCCAATCAATTGAATTTAACAAAGGTGGACTCCAATCAACTTGTAGAAACATCTCAAGGATGATCAATGGAAACAGGATTTCGAGTCTCATAGCAAAGGGTCTGAATACTTATGTAAATAAGGTATTTCTGTTTTTAATTTTCTATGCATTTGCAAACATTTTTAAAAACCTGTTTCCGCGTATTTTGTATAGATTGATGAGGGGGAAAAAGTAATTTTATCCATTTAAGGCTGTAACGTAACAAAATGTGGAAAAAGTCAAGCGGTCTGAATACTTTCCGAATGCACTGTATTTTAGAAGACATTCAATGTCTTCGATTAATATTAATTAATCCTAAATATAATATTCTAAATTCGTAGCAGTGCTTTATGATCAACATTAAACTTTATGACTACCATCTTTACTAACTTATGACCATTTTCAAGTTCCACCTACTTTAAATGTTCAATTAACACTACATCACGCCTGGTCAAATACGGAAGTGGTCAGATGACACGAATGCTACGCTACTGGACTGTTTTCCTAGCACAGACTGGAATATGTTCCAGGATTCATCCAATGGCGTTGAGGAGTATACCACCTCAGTCATCGGCTTCATCAATAAGTGCATCGACGATGTCATCCCAACCAGAAGCCATGGATTACAGACAACATCCGCATCAAGCTAAAGGCTAGAGCTAACGCTTTCAAGGAGCGGGAGACTAATCTGGACGCTTATAAGCAATCCCACTACGCCCTCAGACGAACCATCAAACAGGCAAAGCGTCAATACAGGATTAAGATTGAATCGGCTCAGATGCTCGTCGGATGTGGCAGGGCTTGAAAACTATTACGGACTACAAAGGGAAACCCAGCCGCGATCTGCCCAGTGACGCGAGCCTATCAGACGAGCTAAATGCCTTTTATGCTCGCTTCGAGGCAAGCAACACTGAAGCATGCATGAGAGCACCAGCTGTTCCAGACGACTGTGTGATAACGCTCTCGGTAGCCGATGTGAGCAAGACCTTTAACAGGTCAACATTCACAAAGCCGAGGGGCCAGACGGATTACCAGGACGTGTACTCAAAGCATGTGCGGACCAACTGGCAAGTATCTTCACTGACATTTTCAACCTCTCCCTAGCCGAGTCTGTAATACCTACATGTTTCAAGCAGACCACCATAGTCCCTGTGCCCAAGGAAGCGAAGATAACCTGCCTAAATGATTACCGCCCCGTAGCACTCACGTCAGTAGCCATGAAGTGCATTGAAGGGCTGGTCATGGCTCACATCAACAACATCATCCTGGATATCCTAGACGCACTCCAATTCAGATATCGCCCAACAGATCCACAGATGACGCCATCTTAATCGCACTCCACACTGCCCTTTCCCACTTGGACAAAAGGAACACCTATGTGAGAATACTGTTCATTGACTACAGCTCAGCATTCAACACCATAGTGCCCACAAAGCTCATCACTAAGCTAAGGACCCTGGGACTAAACAGGTGGTAAGGGTAGGCAACAACATGTCTGCCACTGGGGCCCCTCAGGGGTGCGTGCTTAGTCCCCTCCTGTACTCCCTGTTCACCCACGACTGCGTTGCCAAACACGACACCAACACCATCATTAAGGCCTGATCACCGACAACGATGAGACAGCCTATAGGGAGGAGGTCAGAGACCTGGCAGGGTGGTGCCAGGACAACAACCTCTCCCTCAATGTGAGCAAGACAGGAGCTGATCGTGGACTACAAGGAAAAGGCGGGCCAAACAGGCCCCCATTAACATCGACAGGGCTGTAGTGGAGCGGGTTGAGAGTTTCAAGTTCCTTGGTGTCCACATCACCAACAAACTATCATGGTCCAAACACACCAAGACAGTCATAAAGAGGGCATGACAACACCTTTCCCCCTCAAGAGAGGTTTGGTATGGGTCCCCAGATCCTCAAAAAGTTATACAGCAGCACCATCGAGAGCATCCTGACCGGTTGCATCAACGCCTGGTATGGCAACTGCTCGGCATCTGACCGTAAGGCGCTACAGCGGTTAGGGCGTACAGCCCAGTACATCACTGGGGCCAAGCTTCCTGCCATCAAGGACCTATATACTAGGCGGTGTCAGAGGAAAGGCCCAAAAATTGTCAAAGACTCCAGTCACCCAAGTCATAGACTGTTCTCTCTGCTACCGCACGGCAAGCGGTACCGGAGCGCAAGTCTAGGTCGAAAAGGCTCCTTAACAGCTTCTACCCCCAAGCCATAAGGCTGCTGAACAATTAATGAAATGGCCACCCAGACTATTTACATTGACAACCCCCCCCCCCCCCCCCTCCGTTTTTACACTGTTGCTACCCACTGTCTATTATCTATGCATAGTCACTTTACCCCTACCTACATGTACAAATTACCTTGACTAACCTGTACCCCTGCGCATTGACTCGGTACCGGTACCCCCTGTATATAGCCTCGTTATTGTTATTTTATTGTGTTACTTTTTATTATTTTTTACTTTAGATTATTTGGTAAATATTTTCTTAACTCTTTCTTAAACTGCATTGTTGGTTAAGGGCTTGTAAGTAAGCATACACCTGTTGTATTCAGTGCATGTGACAAATAAAGTTTGATTTGATTATATCCTAAATAAAATCTCCTACTGTCTCATTAATCTCCAATATTTCTCCATGTACAGTAAGTAAATGATTCCCCTAACATTCCCCCATCATGTCTACATTATAATTCACTACATAAGCATAACAAGCAGTTGCTATTTCAATCAAACAATAGAATAAGAATAGAGCACCTTTCACCCAACTGTAGTCAATTTAATAATGATGAAAACAGGAAGATCAAAACATGTGGTGGATATTATAAAATAAGGATTTGCTGGAGTCCAAGTCAAACCAAGATTCTTTATTTCTGAGTCAGAGAGAATAAGAGTTACATAGCGCAGTGTACATGTCACGAATTCCGCCGAGGCTGCTCCTCCTCCTTGTTCGGGCAGGCTTCGGCTTTCGTCGTCCCCGGAGTACTAGCTGCCACCGTTTGATGTTATCTATGTTTGTTTGGTTTTGTCTGTTTAGTGCACCTGTTCCTTATCACGTCTTGATTATGTCACCTATAAGTGTCCTTTGGTTTTGTTTGTAGTTGTGTGTCGTTGTACGCCTGTCGTTTGGTGTAGGTTGTTTGTTTGCTTATTGTTAGTGCTGTTCGCACTTTACGCACTGTTTTGCGTATTCGCTCGCCTCCTGTTTTTGAGGCCTGTTTGGATTGTTCTTTGCTCCTGTGACTATTAAAAGTCGGATCGACTAAGCTTCTGTGTCCTGCGCCTGACTCCAACACCACATCCACATCAGCCCTTGACAGTTCACAGTCTGAATTCCGAAGCATTGGGTGATAAGCATATATCTTTATAGTTTCCTGTTCTTGGGCGGGACTCTCAGTTCTCTTTTTATCTATACAAGGATACAGGGGCAAACTGGTTTGCAACACAGGTTGATACTCCCAAGAACAGGAGATTATAATAGGACAGTTTCACACAGT